CTGTCGCTCTGGTCCCAAGGAGTGCTACACAAAGAGAAAAGAGAACCTACAGGCTTATGAGTGAGAAGACGAGCTATCTTCCTCTGAGGCAAAATCTCCTTTTTGTTGTTTTCCTCTCATTACGGCACTTTGTACTACTTGAAAACACACAGGAACTCCAAAGGTACTTTTAAAGCCCACTTCTTTTTTCTTGTAATATGTCTGGAGGTGGTAAAGAAGCGGAAGTTCAGTGCACTGACAACAAAGCCGCAAATAAAAATAGACTTTCCATACACTAGCCCCCTGTACATCTTCAAAAGACCTACATCCAGTGATCATTCAATTATCACAAACAGTTAGAGAACAAATGCAGAAAAAATATATAATAATTGCATAACAAAAATGTATGCCACCACAAGCATGATCTTTAAGGTCGCTTTAAGGTGAGCAGCAAGAAACAGAATATAATGTGTACAGACTGGGACACGCAAAACAGCAGGAATTCTTTTTGAAGCTCTGTGCAGAAAAGAGAGAAAATGGCTGCTGCCCTGGGGCTTGCCTGACAGGGAAAGAGTGCCTCTTTGAGCTGAGCAGTTTGTAGAGGGCCAGAGGATGGGAGCCTATGAACTTGCAGATATAACTGGCTTAATAAAAACTAAGTGGCTGCCCCATTGTCCTCTGACCCAAAAGCATACCCTCTCTGGAGAAGTGTGAGGCTCTGGCTGACAGGGCACTCAGTGTGGGTGGATTCCACTCTCTCCATGACCTGGTCACTTGTGGAGGATGCCAGGCTAATCCAAAAACAGGGATATGTGCATTAATGCCTTGTGTACACATACATTTAAATAAAATGTACTATGTTCAGAAAGATAATCTGTCTTCTGGTTTAAAATAAAGGTAAACATAATGACATTGACCACTGGTATGCTTATGTCAAATGTATAGGAAGCTAATTTATATGCATTGGTATCATTTATTAAGAGAGCATCAACTTAGGGCTTATAATTGAAGGCAGTAAAAAAAAAAAATATCCAATTTGAACCATTCTGGTTTTGCTGGAACATCATGCTTCCATAATGACAGTGAGCTGAGGTGATCATGTTAATCATCATCCTTGAATGATCTGGGGAAAAATGATTTTTTTGTGATACTGAATAAATTAGCAAGTTTATGTTTTAATGAAAGGATTCTGTTCAAAGCTTACATTATAAATGTGTCCAGAAGAACTGACAAAAGGCTAAAAACTAAAATATGAAATGATAAACTAATACAAGAATCACATTTTAGAACATGTTTATAGAGATGTTAATTACAGGGTAAGCTGTTTTATGCAGAATAAGACAGGATATTACTTGTTTGTGAATGAAAATTATGGTACTTCTTCAAAAACTGGAGACTTTACAATTTCGTTAATTCAAATTGTGATTTTGATTTTCTGTTTACTGTTTTACTGCCAATGGGATCTTGGATGGACACTTGATTTAATGTAGTCTATTAAATACTTTTATTTTTGTAAGAATTATTGTCTACATAATTACAACAATAATTCAGATCAGACAGTATAAGTTGTCCTTCAGGGAAATACAATATATTCCAAATGCAGGTTGTAAAAGTTCATGTTTACACAGTAAGCGTGTCAGACTAGTCCATTTTATAGTGTCTGGCCCATATCTGCAGTTTTAGCAGTTCAATCCAGCCCACATTTGAGTAGAAATATTGGTATTCTTGCATTGACCTGGTTTGCTAGTGCAGTTGACCTGGCCCAAGCAAAAGCTGTTGGCCAAATTTGTCCAGCTGTTGTGGCCAATTTGTCTTTTTCCCTCTCCCTCCTCGTTCCTCTCCTGTCCACGCTCTCCTCCTCTTCCTCAGTTCACTTGTTTCCTGTGTCCAGTTGTGCCCGCAGATGCTGTTGTGATGATGAATCTCTGGCTGCAGTGTTTCTGTGTGTCTGACATAGTGATGTATCTCCACTGGCCATAACTCCCTCTCGATCTCTACCTTCCCTCTTCCCTTCGCCCTGCAGTCGTCGTCTCTGTCTCCGTCCCTCCCTCTCGCCCATTCTCTGGCTCTCAATGATTAGGCATTGCCTGCCCTCCTGCCTCGGTGATGGAGCGGACAAAACACACAGACCCACAACCACTACCACCGACAACAAACGGGAACTGAGCTTCACGATTTGCCCATTGATTTTCACTGGGGGCATTTCTGAAATAGCCCATCTGACCTTTCGGCCAAATGGTAGTGAAAAGAGGAAACAAGAGGCGCTAGACTGTTGTGTTTCTCCCTAACACAAACCTCTCCACAGCCAGGACTACGAGTGATACAGTCGTAGGTTAAACACTGGTGAAGCTGTGAAGGAATGACATACGTATCAAGACTTGACACCTTAAGCCACTAGCTTCATTAGAACACATTACACAAACTTAAGTCTCTAGTCCAGAAGACATACAAGGAATATAAAAATATATGAATAAAATATATATTTAATACAAATTATGAAAATAGTATATGACACTCAACCACTCAAACCAGATATGGATATATCCATCAAGTATACTTGTCTTGCTATAATAATTGCTATAATTATGACAACTTGTTGCACTGTCTATTCATGGAAAAAGAAAAAAAAGCATTCATTTTAATTTCATATTTTATTATTTCTTAGTCCAGTATCTTCTTTGTACTGCACACACAACATACTGCATTAATATTAAATATACATTTATACTATATACTATTGGCATATGATTTGCCATTTTAGTTGAGTTTTTTCATTTGTTAGGCTCATTTTTAAAAATAAAAGGGAAACAATCCAGCCATCATGCACAGAGAATGGTGTTAGAAATAATGTCATCTTTCATTTTATAGACTTGATAAGCAGCTGTGTAGACACTACAGTGAACATTAACTTCCACAATGCACTACACCTGTGGTTCCACAAACAAACCAAATCATTTATGCTCCAACACTTTAGTTCAAGTATATAACACACTGTAATTCCATCTTGCCCAAATGATCGTTGTTTGCAGGCTCCGTTTTATGTGTGTGAACAGTGCAGAGGGGCTGTAGGAGAGGCTGGCTCTTCTGCCCGTCGCCTGGAAGAGTAGCTTGGGCTCATTATCCTGATGAAATTTGCACAGATGTGTGAGCTGCCGACAGACTCCGCAGTGACACAAACAGCCAGCTCTGTCCCCTTGAGCCAGTCAGGTGATGAAAACCAGAGAGGCACGGGGGCTGAGAAACGACGGCCATTAAGCAAAAAAGAAATAGGTGTGGGAGTGTGGCTGTACATGGTTGTGTATGTGCGCTTGTGTGCTGCAGGGCTACATGGAGTTTCACTTTCTTGTGGGGAAAGCATTACATAAAGTAACAATTTCTAAACCGCCTTCTTAAAATTCCTGATGAAAATGAAAATGTGCATACGTGTGTGATGCGTCTCTACACGAGGAGCTAATCTGACCGTATCCAGATGATGAGCGGACTGCCACTTAACAGGGAGGAGATCCACTTTGATCACATGGCCCCTGGGGCAAACCTATCGCACTGCCTATTACGCGCCCTCATTTGCATATGTGGGGCTTATGGGTAGGCTGAGATCTACTCTGAATGTTCTTAACTGCTGCAGAGCTCAATGTTGCTCAAAAGATGTCCACAGAGGAGGCAGAGCAAAGACACAGTACTGCCAACACCTGAGGACAGGAAAGTCCACTTGTCATTTGAAGGTCGGTCAGAAGTTCAGCAAAATACAATGGTGTTAAAAATTTAACATTTAAATGTTCTAAACAATAGTTTGCCCTTGAGTCAAGCATACTTCATACTTCTCAGTGCAAATGGTTATAGAGCTGTCAGGTCAAATTACTATGTTGAACACAGTTTGGGGATAAACTTTATACATTCTCAACACAAACTTTACATGAATGGACGAAAGTTCTTTATAAAAGCCTACACACAGTGGTAACCATTTAAGCTTCCACAAGTTGCACATCAACAACAACAGGTGAATGGTGCTGCCTGTTTCTTCTTCCTGTCTACACTGACTCGGAACACTACACACACCTCTTGATCTCTGTTAGCAAGCCAAGCACTAAAATCAACCACTGAAGTTCTTCTGGAGTAAACAAGGAAAAAAGAAATGCAAAGTTCTATTGTGACATCACTGTGCTGTTTGCGTAAACAACTTAAACCAACCACAAAAAGAAGATGGTCTACTTTTGAGTTCCACTGGGATTTTACTATTGAAGTCCTCAACTTAGTATGACAGCGTATAGCATTGTACTGTCAACAAAGGGACGTAAAAGTATAATGTGTTTTCATTTCCATAACAGCAAGGGTCTATTAAACCACAAAAAACATTCTTTGTAGAGAAAAAAAGTGAATGTGGTTTGTTATTGATGCAGTGTAGAATTTGTGTTCCTTTAACAAACGAAAGCATTCAACTATGAATTATTATCTACGCCTTTTTAACTTTGGAGGTCAGGCATAGCAGCAAACAATCCCAAATATTTGGAATAAAGGTGTGGTGCTCTTTGGACACTAATCACTCACGTACACTAGTGTATTCTTGCTGTCACCCGCTCTCTTACTCCACCTGCATCCCTGTACTTAGTTGTAATTATTAAGAATTAAGACTCCAAGTAATACATGTAAAATGTAGCATAGCAACTTGTCAAAACTGCCACTACGACGAGGCAATGCTATCACTTCTGCAGTTTTTAGCCCCATTCATGTTATTATGACATTTTAAAACCATATTGCAGTGACACACTGGTACAAATTACAAAACCCATTTAGGCATCTTTTTCAGAATTGTTCTGTGCCTAGAGAATCATGACTCAACAAATAACATAAGCATCATGGTATGGTAAATAATATGAGCATCATTGTCCATCAAAAATGAAAAATACCTCAAAACTTTTTTAAAAGTCCGATTTAAATGGCATTACATATGTAGAGAGAGGCATGAAAAATTAATACACATGAGCCGAGGAAATGTCAAGGGTAATGATCTCGGCACAGCTTACCTCCTTAGCTTTCTGTTTCAGTCGTGCTTGCTCTGGGTCTTCCTGCCTGGAGCGGCTCTGTGGAGCAAAGGGAGGTGGGAGACACAGGTTAACAGCTGGTTTAAGGAGACCCCCTCCCTCACTATTCATCTGTTGCTGCTGCTGTTGCAAAAATAGTGCAAAATGGGAACAGGATACTCGGGTGTCAAGGACATTGTATTTGAATTCAGAGAGGTGCAATGGAGCACCCCTCAGGGGGCTGTGGCCTTTACACCCGCTCCAAATCCGGGCCTAAATAAGCCGCTAGAGGGGGATTCTAATCAAAAGAGGTTATTAAAAATTCTGCACAAGCCAGCACACACACATACACACACACTCACATATAGGGCAAAGGGTGTTGGTGAGAACGGTAGCTTTGTGTATGTTGTATTGAGTCATTGTGAAATGTGTTGTATGTAATCCAGGTGTAAGAACATCTCCCCACTATTTTAATGATCAACTAGGGCTGGGTAAGGTGGCGATAAAATTGTTTTATTGTGCTCCAACCATCTGACATTGTGCTATTTTTGATTAAATCATCATGTTGTGATTCAATGCTTTTTTCCTGAATGCCGCCTTTTGCTAAAACCCAGTGTTTATCTGGGAGGTGGACTGTTTACAGGGCAAAGTGGCCAGAGTAGCTAGTGCTTTTCCTGTTCCTATTTCCTGTTCTGTCCAGCATATATATATATATATATATATATATATATATATATATATATATATATATATATATTCTGGCAATACAATGCATTACATCTGTCCTGTACTTAAGCTAAACTCAAAATAATGGCTTTAATAAAGAGGGTCTTTGAGTACTGAGTTCTTAAACTTCTGAGAATCCATCTTGTACAGCTCCCGCATCTGTGTTTGTGTGGGCTCAAAGGTTTGAAACGGCCAAACAAACCAAAACAAACATGGCGACGTGACAGACGTAAATGGGCAGGAGGTTTGGTGGTCTCTGTTCATCAACCAGAAGATAGTCTAATATCCTGCATAGGAAGACTTGAGTGTAATGGTGCAATTAAGACAGTAAGGTGTGCTGCAATGAGGATTTTTACTGGGACATTGGCTCCATTCAAAATTAATTAAGTTAACCCACCTTTGTCCTAATGTTGCACTACAGGGCATTTTCATTTGTGGAAGATTTGAGGTCTCTCTTTTTGAATATTTTTTCAAGAAATTTTGTGACAAAAGGGGCTTTAAAGGGTTTTAGGTTGTGATTTGACTGTTAATCAAACTACTTTTTGTGCTACAATGTATTTACATTTTCATACACCTGCGCTCATCTTTGTACATCTGATGCTCTATTTCACTTGAGCTGTCAATACTTTTAACATGGGGATACAAGGGGCTTGTGTGTTTTACAGGACACTTGCCCTCTCCTCGCCGTGTCCGGGGAGAAAGGCAGGACAGAGGAGCCCTGAGGCCAGCAGCCTGAGAGGACACGCAGAGGTCACTTCAACCACTGGTGTCACACTCTAATTCATCTATCAGGACCAGAGCAAGTAGTATAACCTCATACACACAACCGTGCACACAACCATTCACACAGTCATATACATAGCTGTGCACACAGCCGCACACAAAGACTTACCCACGCATATATACCCCCATGTACACACAGCCATACACACAGACGTACACAGCCATTCACACACACGTATAAAAACACGTACACACACATACACACAGACATACATACACGTACACACACAAGTACACATCACCATACACGCACACAGACTCACAAACAGATGTACACCTAGCTAACACACAAACACATAGACGTACCCACAGATGTACACAGACATATACAGACGTGCACACAGCTGCGTACACAAAAGAACATACAAACATACACACACGTGAAACTGTATACAAACACACACTATTGCATAGGGATATTGCTTTATAAACAAAAGCATACTTTTGCAGCTTTCAGTAGAATTTCTCGCTCCTGTTCGTCCTTCCTCTGCTTCTCGATTCTCTCCAGCTGCTCGAAGAACCGGAGCTGGGAACGCACATCTGCAGTCTGCTCATAGCTCTCGTCCTCCTGTGCAGAACACACAGAGAAGAACTACAATAAGCACAAGGGTAATTCATGTCTTTCATCCAGAATTGGTCTTTCTGCTAAAGATCATTGTCTTTTTTTTTTTTTTTACAGCGGCTGTAAATTGGCTGTGTATTATTGGACCATCACCATTTTTTTCATAGGTGCTATTGACTTCATTTTAAATTTTTCAATTCATGTTTCACCAAAGCAATAGTCGTTTTATCATTAAAGAACTGGTTCGCCAGCCAAAGTGATCAATTCAACAAGAAAAACCTTAGTAATGGTCCAATGGTGATACTGACTGAGCTCCTTAGTGTCCATGTGAAGATGTAATGTCAGAAGGGCAAACATCCCTGAAGCATTCGCATCTTCTGCCATTTCTGATAACAGTGATTGCACCTCAAATTCGAAACAAAATGGCCAAACTGGTTTTGGCTCCAAGTTCCACAGAATACCCAAGACTACAAAGCAACTCTATAAGTTATAGCTAAGAGGCCTGTTGTTAAGAGATCAATATGACAATATTTTTTATCATCTTCTGTAAATGTGTCAAATACTTTTTTTTTGCCTGTCACTTGTCACACATTGTTGTGTAGATCTTAATTTCATCTATTGGTTGATTTCTTTGCATGTGTGGATTACTTCTGCATCTGGTGAACATTTCATACCAATTGCAACAATTTTATTAAGAGAGAAAATGCCAACAAGGGGAATAACATCTGTATATTGTGACTCATGATGGACAATGGATCTAAGCTGCAACACATTTATGGGACCACTTTGTCACCGCAGCGGCATAAGAACAATTCCTGGCCTTGACAGTTTGTTGAATGCCTCCTCCCGATAATATTGTAAAATAGTAAGTAGACTAATATGCTGATAATGCACTCATGCCCATTCAGTACATGACAAATTGCCTAGTTTAAGTTGTTTATTGTACCTGTTGCCAACTTTGGCTGGACTGCACAATTTTGGAAAAAATATGAAACAAGCAAAAACCTTACAATTAATAGTATAAAATGTCAGGATGAACTATTGAATGGACTTCTAATGAACTATTATTATATGTGCAGATTATCTGTCCTCAAAAATTTGTATAATAGAGTTAGAAGTTATCTATTCATTAAATATTTGGTTTAATTAACAACCCCAAGCAGAATACCACAAGAATACTAAACACAGCAGCACCCACAACTTCTATTCATGGTATTTCTTTTGATATGCTGTGTATCTCACTCATGGGGAAGGGAAAGACACTAGTCATGTATAACTTTTTGGCTCATCAAACGTTAATAGGATAATTGCTTCTTCCCACAATTTTTAACTTTACGTTGCCTCTCAAACTTAATTTGGATATCACTGTCAGTGGTGTCTGTGCTTCCATGAGTGAGAGAAGCTGGGTGGCACAGAGCACAAAGGCACATCACACGAGGAACATCCCCTGCCCCCCTCTGCCCCCTCCTGCCCCCCTCCTCTCTCATCCACTCACTAGTCTTTGTTGCCGCGCTGAGCCTGCACTCCTGCCGTAGCTCCTGCCACCGCCGCTGCTGCCGAAGCCCGGTTGCTCTTTAAGGCCGCTTTGTCTTTTGGTCTTTTTCTTTCTCTTCTTTTTTTTCGCTGATGTCAACAGTGTGGCTTTACAAAGCTCCATGTCTCTCACAAACCTCAATTACAAAACCACAAAAAGCCAGCAAACGAATGAAAAGCAAAAGCGCAAAACAAGATGGGGACCGCTCCAGCGCTCCCGCCTATCGTAGTGTCTGGAAAAACACACTTTCAAAGTTTCCTTCAGTTCTCTTCTCTATGCCCGCATCTGTGAGCTGAAGTGGAGGTGAATGTGAACTTGTTTACCAATTATATGGTTATATGGTTTTACTCTAAGTGAGTTAAAGACTCTTATATTAAAACCTTGCATACAAAGTATACGCTCCCAAGTTTTCACAAGTCACAGAAAGCTTCCAATGACTGTAAACTTGAGGGCATATGCCACCTTTTTGCCAAACAAACTTTCTTTTGTGTGATTGATTATTTTTTAATAATGTGTTTATGTGCATGTTCAGTGAAGTTCAATGTCAGCAGTAAGCAAAAACCAGAAGGAAAAACTTATATTACTTACTATTACTGATCTTTTAGTCAAAGTTGTTAACGGCACATTTGTCAAAGCTTGTGCTTGTCTTACCTTACAGGAGTCAAGTCGGTGCTGCGCAATAGTGGAGACCTTTTCCACCATTGTCCGAAGTCGAGACTGCGTGGCATGTGAAATGAATGTCACTGCCTCCATTGGTACCTCTGTGACTCCATATTTCTTGGCTGTGAATGCAATCAAAGTGTTACCTGTACATTCCAACAACAGTCATAACAACTGGGACAAGAACATATTATGCACAGAAAATTCCACTCCATACAACCTGCCAGCACTGCAATACCACACAGTAAAATGTGTATCACATTGTATATTTGCATTTTGTTAATCTATGGACTGATGTAACAGTAGAATGTGGAAATGGTATATTAATATGTATTTAAAAAGATCAAGCTAACTCATGATTTTGTAAATGCAAAATGCTCATTACTGTTTGAGATGTGTAGTTGTATTACATTTGTTATATTGTGTGAGTGTGTATGAGTCAGAGACTGGACAGTGTGAATTGATTTTATTATTGATTGGTGTATTGTAAAATGTATTTCTGTAAATCAGGGAAAGCAGACAGAAACTAGCCATTTAAGTATAACCTGGTATGGAACAGCTCTGTTTTTAGTAACTTAAAGTCTCTGTACATTGTCCATTTAAACAAAGATTAAGATAATACACTAAACTAATACACAAACGCACAATGGAATCACAATGATACTGGCCATGCTTGTCATATATAGCACTTTTTTGTTGTGCAGCTCTCTTTTCCATTTGTCTTGGTGGTAATTAGGGATGTAACGATATTCGATACACTGTAATATCGAATCATTCGATACTGGTGTCACAATTCGATACACATGTTCAGTCAATATGTACATGTCCTGTCATGCGCGCTGTGTTGTCATTTCTTTTGGTTATGGCGGCATGAAAACAGCTCCATAGGGACTTACAGGTGAAATATTCTAACAGACGTGGACTTTATCTTTCATTCAGTCACTTTTTATTTTACGTTGACAGTCCCAGAAATGAGAAAGATAAGATAAAGATAATTTTTAAATACTTTATAATCTCTTTTGACTTTACATCGGTTTAAATCAAATGCGCTCATATACGCACCCACAATGCCAGCTGCAAATTTATACGCGATCTTTTTCTCAGATTCAATTTCATAAGTTTTAGTCAGAAAATTGTTTGTTGAGACATTTCTATGTAATATAACATAGTTTAGTGTTCAGAAAGTAGATGGTAGAAAGCAGTATGTGTAAAAAGAACAGGGCAGTGTGGGAGGAGCTACTGTTTGTCTCTGCTGCTGCTGGAGATGGACACAGGGAGCCCATGTGAATGCACTGAGACTCAGGAGGAAAAGAAAAGAAATCATGAGATCATCATCAAAAAAAGCCTGATAGTGTAACTCCCCAGTCTATATTAATAGTAGACTGGTCATATTATAAAATACAAACTAGCCTGAGAAAGCACTATTTTTATTTTCACAGAATAAAAATGCTATAAATCATAGAACCAAATGAACTAAATCTTTCACATATAAACTGCAACTTTACAGTGGTTGTATTGTAATGTATTGTATGTAATATATGTATTGTTTCATTAATATCAGTGTTATTATATTATACATATTAGCAGGAAAAATATATGATATATATTTTTTTTCATCATCAAACGTATTAAAATGGAACAGATAATGCGACCCACGTATGTATAAGTACTGAATCTTTGGAAAACTGTATCGTTGCATCCCTAGTGGTAAAAACTGAGGAGTTTGAGAATCACGGAGCTATTTATTTATTTTCAATTTATTTCATTACTCCTCTGTGAATGCTGTAGTGAGCTCATGCTGTGCCTGTGTTGTGGTTGCTGGGCCTAGTGGGGCTTGAAGTGTGTGCAGCTTTACAAATGAACACTCCTACACTGGTTTAAGGACAAGCCTGAGGTCATGAAAGAAAACAAAAGGAGGAGGGCACCGGTGTTTGTCCCAAGGGTACGAGGCAATAAAAGAGACACAGCAAAATAAAAGAGAATACACAAATCAGCATACAATCCGAACAAAAATCAGATTGCAAAGATGTTGGTAGATATCATTCGAACCACTATATACTTTTCCAACTAATCTAACAACACTGTCTGACAATGAGTCAGAACAGAAACACAGAGCACAAGTTTTATTATGGGTGTTGATTTAAAAAATAGAGCTTGAACAGAGCTGGCAGGCCTCGGGAGCCTCCCTTGGACTGCTGTCAGTTGGGAGTGCGGCTAGACCAATCACTGACACAATAAAGCTGCATAAGTGCCACTTGCCCAGCAGGGAGCGCCCTAGCCTCCTGCCCTGTATCATGCTGGGTTCCTCCCCAAGGTCAGATTTATATTTTTAAACAAGGATCTACCTCGAGGTCACAGGGTAACAACCATGCTAGGAGTCCATGAAACAAAACGTGACCTCCGGGCCTCTGTGCTGCACTAAAAGATTCTTTAATTGAGATGAAGCACGATGAGAGCGCTAGACTCCCGTCACGTGGAATTACACTGTGTGTTGATCTGATGCACAGGAGCAAGATACTAGGCACAGTTTTATTTTGAGTAATAACGTTCATTACACATTTTCACAGGTTCCACCATGCAGCAAGAGCCTGAAGTGTATTCCAAGCAATAAAAGTTATTGCCTATGGCAAAGGCGGTAATGAAGACACTATCATTTTCATGTGATACTGCAAGCAAACCTAGAACTATCTGCCGGTATTGATTAGCTCCTGCAACAGTGTGTATGATCAGAGTGACTTACTGCAAAGTCTCATTCCTCTACATTCTGCTTCTTTGGACTAAAGGACAATCTGACAGCCAGCCTTCAAAAGATAAACCCATAAAGTATTTATGTATGTGCCTGAGGTTCAGTCAGTTCAGACAGTCACTGAAGAATTCATTAGAAGAGGTGAAAGAATTGTTAAGTATATCAAATTTAAACCAAGGCCAAACAAAAGGCAACAAAAAGTCTAAATCCAAAATGTCTTTTCTGATGGCATAATCAGATGTACAGATATGTTGTCAGCACAAAGGAGAGATTACCTACAGACTTTGTACAGCAAACATTTCTTATTATACATATATTTTTCCAGTATTATCACCTGTTTCGAGAATGCGTCTGTGGAGTAGGCCTGGATGTAAGAAGGCTTCATCTTTGCATGAGCGGATCTGGGTTCCCACCAGCTCTGAGTTGGTAGCCAAAATTCGTGCACTCTCCTCATTGAGGTTTACCCCAGCCATAGAGGCCACGTCATTGATGTCATCGTCATCTCTGAAAAAAATACATTAAAGATTAAATCTGAATGAAGAAGTTTTTTGTTTCTAGATGAGTATTTAAAAGGTTATAATTGAGTTCAAATTGAGTCTCCAAAAAAAAAATAGAGTTGGCTGCTGTCTTTTTGAAGGGTGACCAAATGGCACAAGGGAAATAACCACTTGGGAAGTTGACTGTGGGGACATACTGTCCTGATGTGCTTCAGCAAACCTTTTTCACCAGCCTTCCCCTGTTATGTGTGGCCATATCAGCTTGTCAAAGTCTGATTTTGTCAGATCTCAGAAGCTAAGCAATGCCAGGCCTTACTTGGATGGGAGACCACCGAGAATTCCAGGTGCCACAGTGGGTTACTGAGTCCTTAGGCAAGACACTTCACCTACATTGCCTACTAAAAAAGTGGAGTGTGAGTGTGTGTTGATGGTGGTCAAAGGGGCCAAAGACGCAGCCTCGCTTCCGTCAGTCTACCCCATGGCAGCTGTGGCTACAATAGTAGTTTACCACCACTCAGTGTGAAGTGAATGAACAATAAACTGTGAAGTGCTTCGGGTGTCTTGAAAGGCGCTATATAATTGCAATGATTAATTAATTCAGTAATGTTATATTTATTACAGAAGACCAATAGTGTCAGACAAAGGCCCATAGAACAGAGTCAAACTTATAATGACAATGAAATTGTAATGTAAAATGCAATGTGAAATTGCAAAGTATTTTGATCCAAGTTCATTGCACATTTTTCATAATGTTTTGAATTATAAGAAATACACATTTTTGTTTAACTGACTGGTATGCTGTTTAGATTAGAAATTAATAAAGTTTAAAAAAAAAAATCTAATTTCAGAAAGTCAAACCCATATATTATATAAACTCCTAACACATAGAGGCTAATGAATAATGAAAACCTCAAATGTATTTATTTATTTATTACATACATAATTACATAAGATCAATTAAAAGCAATTATATTTTAACAGAAATGTCAGGCTTCTGAAAAGTATGCTAATTTCTATGCACTCAGTACTGGTTGGGTCTCCTTTGGCATGAATTACTGCACCAGTGTGCCGTGGCATGGAGGCAATCACCCTATGGCACTGCTCAGGTGTAATGGAAGCCCAGGTTGCTTTGCTAGCGGGCTTTAGATCATCTGCGTTGTTGGCTCTGGTGTCTCATTTTCCTCTTGACAATATCTCAGAAACTCTTTATGGGTTCAGGTCAGGCAGGCTTGCAGGCCAATCAAGCACAGTAACACCATGGTCAGTGAGCCATCTTTAATAACTTTGGCTGTGTGGGAAGGTGCCAGGTCCTGCTGGAAAATTAAATCAGCATATCCATAAAGCTTGTCAGCAAAAGGAAGCAGTAAGTGCTAAAATGTCCTGGTAGATGGCTGCATTGACTGTGGACTTCGGAAAACACAGTAGATCAACACCAGCAGATAACATAGCAGCCCAAATCATCACTGACTGTGGAAACTTCACATTGGACTTCAAGCAACATGAATTTATTGTCTCTCCACTCTTCCTCCAGACTCTGGGACCTAGATTTCCAAAAGATATGCAAAATGTGCTTTCACCTGAAAGGAGGACTTTGGACCAGTGAGTAACAGTCAATTTTTTTTTCTCCACAGCCCAGGTAAGATGCATCTGACATTGTCCCATGCCCAATACAGGCTTTGTCTGTGTGTAGTGGCTCTTGATGCACTGTCTCCAGCCTCTGTCCAATCCTTGTGAAGGTTCCCCAAATTCTTGAACGGATTTTCTTTGACAATCCTCTTAAGGCTGCGATCATCCCTTTTGTAGCACCTTTTCCTACCACATTTTTTCCTCCACTCAAGTTTCTATGAATATCCTTAATACAGCACCCTGAACAACCAACTTCTTAGCGTGACCTATTGTGGCTTACCCTTGTTGTGGAGGGTGTCAGTGACTGTCTTCTAAACATCTGTCCAGTCAGCAGCCTTCCACATGATTGTGTAGCCCACCAATCCAATCTGAGAGACCATTTAAAGGGTCACGGACCTTTTGCAGGTGTTAGTTAGTTACTTAGTCAGTTAATTAGGTGATTACGGTGTGACACCATGACTTCCCAATATTCAGCTTTTATACACTATTCTCATATTCTGAGACACTTAATTTTGGGCCCACAACTCAAATCAAGTTTTAGCTCAGAGAATTTCATTTATATTTTGCTGATATAATTGAGCACAGAAAACACACTCAGGGTGACCCCTCACTCACTGGTCCACCTACACAGTCATACGAACAAGAACATGACATCATCGCTGGCACAATAGTCGTGTGGCTTATGTGATGGCCCTGAGCTCTTAGGGCAGCGCACCATCAGCTAACTCCATCCCACTGAGGCCCTCCTTGTTTCTTGACTGCTTAAAGCTGATATGAAACTTGACACCACGGTGGGAGGTTGACAAAGACAATTAGAGGGACCCTTTCATACACCTATTTTTTTTTTCATTTTTTTAAATTTTGCCTCCACTGTTGAAAAAACACAACACACAGACAACACAGCATTGCATTATGTCCTCTGCTGCGCCCCAGGCCGTGCAGCTTTCTTCCCCATGGATATCACATCCTCCTGAATAACATGACCTGTCCTAAAAAGAGAAGTGCTTGAGGCCATGTTAGCTCAGGTAAAAAAGGCACTCAACAACTTTCCCATCTCCAAACTGTATATGATTACCACCAAACAAATACTTTATCATGTTAGCAACATTCTACTAGAGACACTCGTTACAACAATTACATTATGTTTGGTTTTACATGATGTCATGTATTATGTTACTTGTTGTTCTTTAAAGTCCTTGAGGGTTAAAGAAACACTTCATATTCACAGAGTGAATATAGATTCTTTCATATTTACTGTGCATATTTCAAACCATGAAGCATGCTAATCTGATGCTTTATGAATCGCAGGGGCAGCAGTTTAAGCAGGGAATGTTGTCTCTCCTCAGACACTCAAAGTGCTACACTGTAGTTATTATTCATTCAATCCACATTCAAGGTGGTAAGATACTTCGGTAGCCACAGCTGCCCTGGGGTAGACTCATGGAAGCATGGCTGCCAATCTGCGCCATCAGTCTAATCACTCACACACACCACATTCATATTCAAACAACAACAATTTGGTCCGAGTAGAAATTGATCCTTCAAAGTTTGGGCTGGTGAATGTGTGCACTTACCATTGAGGAAGTGACAGTCAAAAGCTTTAATATACAAAAACTGGTTTGAATTGTTTTGCTACTTGAAGGAAGTACTTAACCTGAGACTTATTTTATTCAAATCAATACACTGAGTCCCATACGTTCTAACAAATATAAGAAGTATGATTAAGAAGTATGATGTAGAGTAAGTATTATGTGACAAAAATTGAATTCAAATTAAAGCTCAAATCAAATGTGAATGCCATGAACAGGTTTGACATTAAAAGGCGGGAATGAGATATGAAATGCAGAAAAGTCCAGACTATACCTCAGCATTAATGGAGCAGATGTAATTAGCTTCCACAGAAGCTAAAGAGCAGCCTCTCAGTTATTGGTTCAGCTTTGCTCGGGGACATAGAGCCGGCAGTCACATGAATACATATGCATGTCGTTTCCATATCAAGCTTGTGCTTCAGCGGGGCACGCTGTGGGTGGTGGGTGGGCTGCATCCCATTTAGAGCTTGTATGTGTGTTGATGTGTGCAGAGAAGTCCAGATCTCCACCCTCAGTACCCAAGCATCATTTAATCTTAGTGACTAAGTAGACATTTGAGAGCTCCGAGGCTGAGGGGTTTAGACAAAGAAGCCAACAAACTAAAAAATGTACCTATTGGCCTGACATGTCGATATACTGTATAGTTACATATCCCTATTGACTGAACTTTCAAAATCTGCAATCTGTTCTTTGGACTTCCACATCCGTTATGGCAACTTGAAATTTTAAAAAGTTATGAAAAAGTTATGGTACCATACTTCTATGAACATAATCCAATCTTATGGCTGCTGAGTTTCCAAATCTTTGAGTGAACACTTTTGGGAGGTCGCTTTTAACTTTTAATTGAGTCAGTGTTATTTGCAGAGCCTGTTAGCAAACTAGGCACACAACCTGTCAGTTTACAGAACAACAGGGCAGGTTTCCACAGAGACTGTTTATAGTTGCATTGCTAGCTGACGATGGAAAAGGCCTTTTTCATTCCAGTGTTAACTGGAATTTGAGATTAAACACTTTTGTTCCATTTTTTAAAACAAGCATCCGTCTGCCTCTTCAATGCAGTTATGAAACTGTTTATGTGCTTACGGGAAGAGGTCTGCGTCCAGCGTGTTGGGGACATTGTAGGATTCGAGGAACTGAGCCCAAGCTTGGAGGTTGGCAGAAGGCTGAGGGCCTGGGCTGGCTCGCCTGTGATTACAGCGGATGTTGAGTGTTTACAGAGGGTTGGTGAGGGGAGGAGGTGGGGCAGCATTGAGGCAGCTGCTTTCACTCTGTACTGTAAACTACACAGCACACACAACACAAGTGCTTACAGGGGGCTGCAGACGCACTGGAAACCCTACAGGCCCTGCACAGGCCCTGCAGTGTGTGTGAGCTACAGCTGGCCCGCTGGGACCAGTGGCTCATAGTGACAGTCTAACACACGCCACTCACTCCATTTGAAGAGAGAGAAGGTGGATTGTGCAAAACCTGGGCAGCCAAAAGTACAAGTTTTTCCTATACATAACAAAGACGTATAGTCTTGAAGGGGTCTTATCTGAGTTCCGATCGGAGTGAGTGACAGTCGGAATAGCTAATCAGAAAAAAAAATAAAAAATGACTGTGTTCCATCTTTGTGCTGCTATCTTTGCTTTAATACATGCAATCAAATAATGCACTGTGACAGTGAACGAAGCATAGGTTATTGCACAAACAAACATAAAAACACAGGAGCTAGGGGGCAATTGAAATCAGAATGTGGGGCATCAGCATAATTTTATCGATCCTTTATTTATATAAATGAGCCTCTTAAGATATAATGTCTCATTTTCAAGACAGACCCCTAATTAATCCTTTCTACAGGACCAAGAGTCAGTCAGATAAACCCGTCAGGACTGCAGACTAACTGTAGTTGATAAAACTGAAAGGTCACGAAGATTGGTGATGGTTGGGAAAGGCAGGCAGCTAGTAGCTCAAACAGTGCCAGATGTACTGGTGAGAAACTAAATGCTGTTCATTAGAGGTGAGAGAAGTTATTGATTTTTTGTCTGTATAATAAGAGGCTATTCCTCCCAGACTCATTTTCAAGTACTTTTGTGTTTATCCACAAGGGAAAAAATGCAATCAAAATGTATTCTATGCTGAATAAAAATTTAATAATAATTTGGACTATGACTAAAATTAGCAGCTCATTGGATATTGTTCAAGAACAGAATGGAATAGAAGACAACAAGAATATATAACCGAATATATGGAATATATATGTCAAAGCTTGATCCCGTCAGATTTCAGAAGCTAAGCAAGGCCGGGCCTGTTTAGTACATGGATGGGAGACTGCTGGAAAAATCAGGTACCACAGCGGGGCGGCAGTTACAAAAACTGTGGTTAGCCAAGGCACTTCACCCACATTGCCTCGTATAAAAGTGGTGTGTTCGTGAGTGATGGTGGTGGTGGTCAGTGGGGCCAATGGCGCAGATTGGCAGTCGCGCTTCCTTCAGTCTGCCCCAGGGCAGCTGTGGCTACAATAGTAGCTTGCCATCACCAGGTATGGAGTGAATGAATAATAATCTGTAAAGCGTCTTTGTGACATATGTCTGTGAAAAGTGCTATATAAATAAAAACTTACTTATAAAAAATAACAGCCATATAGTTGTGGTAATTCATGTACCATACACCGTAGACAAATAGGTGAAAATGAAATGAGAAGTTTAAAAAAGAAAGAAAATAAGTCTAACCCTGTGTTTAAGTAGATGGCATTTTTTTCTGTCAAACAAAGTTTTACTCTACCTAATATACTAAAAATTAAATGTTCATACATTTGTATGGTGCAGACCTAGTTTTATATTTCAGATATAGTTTGACAAAATAAAACTGTAATTAATTATATTATTATTGCAGCTCAGGTTAAAGGAGTTACATTCATCTATGAAAATGGTACTGTGCATTATCTGACATGTTGTGGTACCAGTGTGTTTGTTTGTGATGGGCCATTGTGATAACCGCAGGGAGAAAAAGGTCGTCAGTAACAAGCGAGCTTGACAGCTTAATTACCAATGAAGCTAAAGATTTATTGGCTTATCAATGAAGAGCCTTGGGCACTGCCTTTGCCCCCAGGAGATGGGAACCATTATCATGAACCCACTGGCCCATGTGACCCAAACTCTTCTTCTGCTGCGGTCACATCGGGCCAGGCCAAACCTCAGTTACACTGTATGCAGCTGAACAAAAAGCAATAACTAACCAACAAAATAAAATCGCCAAAAGGACTTTTGCACAACTAGACTCTAGACTGTCATGCATCTTATTGGCACACAAGTGACTATAAACGTACACTTATGTATAGACATGCACACAGACATTACAGTTACACAAACATGGCCCACAAAGGCCAGTATGTGGGCGATGAACCTTTTATGTTTGGAGACAAAAGCCCAGCAGAAGCGAATACAAGACCAGAGCAAAGGAAAGAGAGGGAGAGAGCAAAGCTTCAGGCTAAATACCATATGTTTGACTTCACCAAAGGTATTTTGAGAGCTGCATCTAGAAATTCTAACCATCTGGATCCAATTAACTTATTTCTAAATCAAGATTTTGTTCATTTGTATTCTGGTGATGGGTTGTGACACTGATTCAAGAAGGGCAGTCAAGGTGGTGATCAATAAGATCTTAGGATGAGAGGCAGAGACTCAGGGACTCTCCATCACCCAGCCAGGTGGCCAGGAAGGCAACTGGAAAACCTCAAAGACACCCTTGAGAAGCTATAGCTGAGAGAGTAGCCCATAGTGATGTAGAGTTAAGTGAAATGCTGCCCCCATGTGACAGCTCCGAGGAACAATGATGTGCACCTATGGTGAGGAGAATGTTACCTGAAAGAGCCTCCTCCGGGGTCGTTGAGCTTGTTTTTCTGATTCCCAGAGATCTGAACAGCCAGGCCGATGGGACTTTTGCCAGCCTGGATAGTGGTTCCTTTCCCCATTGTGCCTGTTGAGCAAAGAAAAAAGAAACAACATAAAAAGTGTAAAGGAGTCCCGTTACCAAGGAAGTGTCCCATCACATCTGCATCAAATATCCTTCTATTGAATGACTACCTTCAACTGCATTTGTCACCCTCACAGGGGAGGACAGAGGGGCTGTCACATTCCCCAGGTTGGTGTGGAGAGCATCATTCTGTCAATATCACTGCACTTCAGCGGCACTCCTTACACTTCTAAACTGCATCCTGCTCCCAGACATGATTTCCAGAGAGGCACAAGGACTGCCAGAGTGAATTTAAACTTGATTTTAACAGGCATGTTCCTAGCCAAAAGGCATAAAACATATTTTTAGAACCATCCCTGCATTCCAATTTGTGGGCATAAAACAACCTACAGATCTTTCACTACAGGCAGTCTTGAGGATGGGGGCAGATCAAATTTGTATGCACCTCTGATTGTGCGTGCACATAAACATATAAGCAAAAACAGGTAAAGACTCACACAACACCTGAGAGCACTTCGCTCTCTTTGGGGAGCATAACGTTTGTGTTGTATCCCGGCAATATTTGCAGGCTTCAGTGGGATGAGTGTTTGTGAATCAGTGTGAGTAAGCAGCGGCACAAATGTTTGAGAAGGCTTTATAAGCAGGCAGAAAAACACCTGTTCTAGTCTCACTGTGGCTCCTATCTGTTTACAGATCTTATAGCCTACTGCCAGTTCAGTTCAGCTTATTTCACCGGGAGCTCAGACTGAATTTGGCAAGGCTGTTTGAAAAATTGTTGCCATATGTAAGCAATTGTGTTTGGACTTTTGAATTTCACAACAGAACAACCAATATAATGTAATAAAATGAATTGTAGAGCTGTCTTATAACGAAGCCTACCTTGTGCTCTAATGGACTGCGTGATCACCACTGGCATGCGCACTTGCCCACTAACAGCACCAGTTGCCTTGACACCCTAAAAAATAAAAGATGTTAATAATAGCCTACTTATGAACTGATTAAATCAACAAATGTAACAAAGATCTGAACTTCATCTATGGAGAGAAAAGTCGAATTTATGTCCTGTTCAGCGGTAATATTTGCAGTGTGTTTGAATTTGATTAGTAAATCGTCACAACACAAAGATAAAATAGATAGTAAAAGAAACATTACAGGAATGAGGGCCTATGGTGGACTATTAGAGTCACTTGTGTCTTTGGAAGAAGCCAATGGCTCAACCTCAGGCCTAGTCATCCATTGATTCCAGTTTGCTTCTTGCTGCATATTTTTTAACCTTGTTTTTCTTTCCCTGACACATGCTGTATTACTGTTCAAGCGACAGAATAAGACATTGGCCATTTGTCCAAGAGATGCACTGCAGGGCCTTGTGGGATAGAAGAAAAGGAAATACATTCAGCACACAGATAGCTACTCCCTCTGGCTAGAAGAGCCCAGGTATAGTTTGGGAATAAGCAAAGAGAAAATTCAAATATCATATTCTGAGTTGTTATTTTTTAAGGTTTACCAATGTTCATGGTAAAATCAATAGTACTGATACCATCAATCACATTTCTTAATAGGAATCCGGCAGTTGGATAAACAAACATTATATTTTGCCTACTGCCACATCTCTCTGGCATTATACTGTTGTTGTGCCCATAACAATCATTTAATGTAATATGTTGTGTTGTAGCTTGTGTTTGTGTTGGTATGTGAGCAAAAGCAATGGTGAGAGAGTGGAAGAGGATAGGAGCATGTTGGACATAAACTACGGACGCTTTCACATTGACCTGGGGCTGACCTAGTTACCTCGCTTCACCCTTTTTAATGTTAGCGTGTGGAGTGTGTGTGGAGTGGGGGGGGCTGAGGAGAAGTCATGTGGGTGGCGATACAGTGAGAAGAACTGCAAAGAGAACAGAATAGGAGAGCATCAAAAGAAGGCAAATGCCAAGATGTTGTCTCTGTCCCAGGTAGGGTATACATAATTTGATTTCAATTTTCTTAAACATCCCCAGATATAGGGTTAGGCGATATGACAAAAAATATATGTTTTTAAATCAAATTTACGGATCACTTTTGATTTTCAATTTCCTTACTAAAAACAAAGGTGGCTTTCAATATATACTGCTGAACATAAATAAAGCAGATTTAATTCGTCCAAAGTCTGAACTCAAATCATATGCTTTTATTGACAAACAATTGGCTGTAGACCTCTCGATTAATAAGACCCAAGCATATCATTGACAATTAAATGAATCAAATTCAATAAAAATTTGGTGAATTGAACAGCCTCATACAGATATGAGGTAAAAAAAAAAAGTTCTAATAAAATATTGCATTTATTGAAAACTAATGGTGTATTATTAATTACAAAAACTTGAACATGATGACTTGAACATGATGATTTGTACATGATGGCTTGTACATGATGGCTTGTACATGATGCCTTGTACATGATGCCTTGTACATGATGCCTTGTACATGATGCCTTGTACATGATGACAACTAGTCTGGATTTTTATTTGGTGTGTTCTCAAGACTATTACCTAATCAGAAATTAGAATGAGCCTCATTATGAATTTATCATTTGGGTTGCCATTTCTCACATCTACAACCAGTTTGAAATAAACACAAGGACCTTCTATGATCTGAATACTCACTATATAACCTCCAGCCCCTGCAACCAATTATTCAATAGTGTTAGTGCAGCCTATGAGTGAATTCTGGAGCTTCTGGAGCCTTCAAAAGACACATGATCTGTCTGCATATTGAGAAGAAAAACACAGGCAACATATCCTCTCTATAACCTTAACCATAAACCACCTGAACCTAAATTTACACCATACTGTTGAATTTATACATTATTTATAGTGGTGGTGGCATGTCACCATGAAATGACTATAACCATACATGCATACAGTATGTGTTTTATTGGATTGTTTTAGTGATTAGTGATTAGTGACTTAGCCAGCACTTCAGTCAGCTGCACTACAGGTGCTGTAGAAATAAAGTTTGACTTAACAATATAGATTTCAGTTCTCATAGTGATGAATGAATACCCACACAGAGCACTCAGTTGGTACATACTGAATCAACATTCACAGGTTTGGTAGTAACAAACACAGTGGTCTTGGAGGTGAAGTTGTATCATTTGACACAGAATATAGAAAATGCAGTGGAGAATTTGAATCTATGTAATGATCTACCCACAAAATGCAAAAATTAAAAGATGATGATGCTAAACTCTAAACATTTTCTGCAGTATTTCAGTGCCTTAACATTTTTTCTTTCATTTCATTTGTTTTACCTATGGCATTCTTGAGGCTGATTTACTATGTAACATAAGTAACCCCAACACACACAGCCCGGCAGGTTCACATCTATCATATGTTAGCAGTGAGGGAAATCTACCTGACGGATATACAGAAATATTACATGTAAACTATATGTATAGTAATGATAGCTTGCAATATACCATTTCAATTTACAAACCAAGACAACATATTCAATATAATATTACAGAGTCATTTTAACAGTAGGGTAAACATACCATTGCAGGAAGAGTACTGGCACCAATAGTGGTGGTCACACTATTAGGGTGTCGTGTGCGGACAGCTGGTCCAGTCACGATGGCAGGGGCCACACTGCTGGGCACGGGTTTGATTCCCTGCTGAGGAGGCTGTGTCAGTGACTGCTGACTGTTCAGCAAGGACAGTCTTAGGGCCGGTAGGCTTTTCTGTTGATGAGAGTGTAACATATATGTTTACTTTCAATTAATGCTGTGATTTTCTTGCTAAATGATTAATAAACATTTCCATAATGTGAAAGTTCTGAATATGAAAAATCCAACTTCAAAAGAAACCTGAAATGTTGGTCCATACTGACTGTTTCAACAGACTATGTACATGTGTTTGGAGACAGCCTGGTCGCTGTTTTGATGTGGCTATTCACGGCAGATTGTAAAAACCTACTGGCTACAGGACAGACTGACTTCAGGACTTCAGGATGTCTCAGGAGAGTCATCGGGCCAAGGGACATATGCAAAGTATTTATGTCTTTATATTTTGGTGTGGCCATAGTGCATGAGACCACACCAAAGTCCCATAGTCTGCAAAAAAAACTATACAGCATTCAAATCGGATTACATTATATTAGAAAATTGATCAAGACAGAATACTAGACTCGTTGTTATTTTGGTACTTGGTACACAATGTAACTTTTCTGGTGGAGGGTGTAAGACCTCCTTGGATCTGCTATTGCTTTGCCAGGAAAATCCCCAAGTATTGCTTTAAACATATACTGTGTTTATTTCATTACAAGTGCTTTTATTGATACCTTGAAAAACATGGGTTCTAACAGTGAGAGAACTCATCTCTCCACAGATCCAGGCAAAGCAATAGCATCACAATGGACGCAAGAAAGTAATAGAACCTCCACCAGAAATGTATACATACTGCACTGTGCACATTTAACTTTTGTAAATTGCTCAAATGTAAAAAAAAAAAAAAAAGTATTTATTATTGCTTGTTTGAGACAGTTAAAAAGATGTTTAACCTTAAGAAATGGGACCAAGTACGGTTGTGGAGATGATTTCAGCTCAGTCTGAAGGCGGCTGGTAAACTCCTCAGGCTCAATCTTAGCATCCTGTCCGTGAAAATGAAACAGAGGCATCATGTTACAGTTTGATTTTGCAATAAGAGGGACAGCAATTCTGAAATATAAGAATACAAATACAGAAGAGCAAATCTGAGACCCCCTCTCTGTCACTAGAGATTACCCAGGAAGTTTTATGCTGCCATCTTTAGGACTGAAATAGGCAATACAAGTGCTGTCATTATTATCATGCTTTGACTCACCAGTAGGTCCTGAACCAGAGCTTTGACATTCTTGGATGTCTCAGGGGATGGAGAGTTGTGAGATGCAAGTTTGATCAGAGTAGCCAGAAAATTCTTACATTTTTTCACATTCTCTTGCATCTCCTAGGACAAGGTAAAAGACAGATAAAATATATAATTAACTTAAATACATTAAACCGCTTTACATACAGTCAGACAGTATACAGTCATTAATAGTACTTTAGTATTAGTAGTAGTAGTAGTAGTAGTAGTAGTAGTAGTAGTAGTTGTAGTTGTAGTTGTTGTTGTTGTTGTTGTTGTTGTTGTTGTTGTTGTTGTTGTTGTTGTTGTTGTCGTTGTTGTCGTTGTTGTCGTTGTTGTTGTTGTCCATTATAACTGCAGTGGAGACTCACCATGCAGAAATCTAGATTCATCTATCTATCACTGAATGAAGGCCTCCCGCAATTCCTTTGGATACTATATGTGCATGTGTGAATTTATGAGTGTGAGCATGTGTGAGACTCTTTGTCCACTGCCAGCTGTGATGGGCTGTGAGTCCAGGGCTAAGCCTGTGACACAGCCAGCTTGCTGGCAGCTGTGACAGCACCAGCCCCTAGAGGCTGAAGAGTGTGGAGAAGCAGAGAGGGCGGTGAACAGACCTGGGACACGACAGGTGCTCCAGGTGTGGTGGCGATGGCCGTCTGAGCCGCCGGCACTGACTGAGAAGCAGCCTGGGATGAAACCTGGGGGGCAATCACCACAGGGGTCTGCTGTGATGTCGTCACAGCCACTGCCACAGGGCCCTTCTGAAAGAGTGCAGAGAGACAGACAGATAAACAGGACGTGACGCGCTGCTCGGAGCAAGGCCACAGAGAACAGGAGGCAGGCACCACAGCGGTCCTGTCACATCTGGTGTCCTGACTTCAGCATCACTCAACAGGCAAGGAGGAGGAACAAGCTGGAGGCTGAGAAAGACTAAAGGCCTTGACAGACATCTCCAGGATGTGTTTTACTCACTTTTATCTATAAATCTATTACATGTTATTGAAATTCAAAACTTCAACCTGTAACAACACAACTGTAACAACACAACAAAACAACCTTTCAGCAGCTTCCTATGAAACAGTATCAGCTCCTAAATCTTAGAGGGCTCATTCATACTTGACAATTTTCACAACAAATAGAATCATCAAAGGACAGTTCTGCATGGCGGCATGGTGGCTGAGTGGCTACCACTCAAGCTTCACAGCAAGGTTCTGGGTTCTATCCCTGGGTCACCTGGGCCGTCTGTGTGGAGTTTGCATGTTCTCCTGTGTGGGTGGATTTCCTCCTCCAGGCACTCCGGTTTCCCCCATGAACCCAAAAAACATGCACCATAGATAAAATCCTCCAGCTAAGGTAGTCCTGACCAAGCCTAGCAACAAGATCACAGAGATGGGTCCCCGAGCACCCCATGTGCTCCCCACTATAGGACAATTTCCCTACAAGGATAATAAAGTACTACAAAACAAATATCAAAGATATTGTATATTATTTAACTGATTTATCTAATTAGATTAGATAGATATCTTATTGTCAGATCAAAGAAATGTACAATGTACTAAGGCAAAAAAGTGGCTAGCACTCACACTTCACAACACCCCCAGATGGAGCCATTCTGTGGGGTGTTTGGATATTGTCACGTGTCTGGCCAGGTTTAGTCCAGGCACTTTGGTTATCTATCATCAACTAAAAAAATAAGCAATCATCCAGCAGTGGTCTAGCTCAAGGTTTGCAGATGGGTCCTCTAGTTAATTTCCACAATTATGTTCAATTTAACTCAAATTATTTTTTAAGTTATTCTTGCAAAAATAGAATATTACACATTGTAAAATAGTCCAGTAAAGTCAATTCACAGTAACAAAATAGTGCTAAAAGATAGAGGGGCACAACTAAAATGAAGCAAACTGAAAATATCTCACAGGGCGCAGTGCAGGACAGGAGGAAGAGGAGGAAGACGATGGGGTCTGGTGGACAGGACTGGATGGAGGAGGACAGGGAGAAGGGGCCATCTTGGATGGGGTCAAAGCACACTGTCTGTTGGTCTGAGGGATCACAGGAGACTGGAGGAGAGCAACACACAGGACAAAAAGTGCACATAAAGTAAAGTTATCACAACACAAACAGACAGTAGATATTAGGGCTGAATGATTTAGCAAAATGTGTAATTTTTACTATTACTACTACAGTTTTTTTTTTTTTTTCCAATGTTTGAGAGAGTACTGAAGTAGTATATGCATCAAATTCAATATGCATCAATAATGAAACATTGCAAAATTTAGTTATTTAATAGTTATTTAAAGGTAGTATGTTGTTATTTAATTTCAAATTTCATTATTACCCAAGTATAATGTCTTTATTTTCAATACACTGTACAGAAAAATAAATAAACAAAAATGTTTTTAATATTTATGAATGGCTATGAATATTTTACAATGTGGAATTTTGGAGTTTAGATTATTGAAGAAATTCATGATTATTCACAAAGCATTACTGAACAACAGTGAAATTCTAAATGTTCATTCACATTGTCTAAGATCACCTTTGCTCTAGTAATGACCAGCTTTATGAAACCAAACCTAAACAGATAGATGAAAAGCAATTTACAGGTATATTGACCTAATATATATTTGTTTATATTAGTTATTCTCACAGTTATCAGTTAACAAAATAATTTTGACAAACTGTGACTTTGTAATATTTCACTGTTTTTGAGATCTGAGCAGATCAAACTGTGATTTTGATTACATAATCTTTCAGCCCCACAAGGAAGAGAATATTAGAAAGAAAAAAGAAGCAAACAAGGCTGAGGATGAACAGAGAAGGAACATGAGTGACCTATGAGCTACACATAAAATTTAACAAAATATTTTTAAACTGTGTTAAAGTAAAATATGCTGAGACACCCACAAAGTTTCATAACAAAAATTATGATGGTTGCAAAAAATATGGTGAAGACATATGACTGACTGTTTTTGTCTAGTACAAGAACCAAAACTCTGATAGAGACAGACGAACAGCAAAGAGAAAAGTAGAATAACAAACTGGAGGAGGGACCTCGTATTAAAAGTTTTGTATCATTTAAAATATGCTCACTAAGGAAGTCAGAGAAGGATTAGAAAAGGAGTGGTGAAGGTGGTACAAACGAGGTTGGGAGATATTTAGAGCCACCGGCGGATGCATCCCACCATCAGCATGTAGCTCCTGCACTGCGTGTCTCACATACACAAACTAGAGAACCAAAGCCTTGTTAGGTTTTTAAAATAATCAGGCAGTTGGATGATGAATGATTTAACAGGTATGGAAGGAAGGAAGCTCAGGATGCCTTCCGTTTCTCCCCTCAGGGTCATGGGAAGAGTGACAGGCCGACAGAGGCACTGAGCCCTGGGAATAAACACCATTCCCTTTCATTTCTCTGCTCCAGCTTTTCCTGTTGAGATGGCAATGCCCCAGCTTGCTAATTTGTCTTCAATGTGACTGTGAAAGCCAATGACAATCTGTGTCTCTCTTTTCAGAGAGGCTTTCCTTTAGGACTCATTCTGTATGGCAGAATAACCTTAATTCTTCCAACCTAGACGTTGCCTCATTTACAGTAAACGCAGCAATACATAAATGTAGAACTACTGGTGTTTTAGCAATACTGGTTTTAAGCAAAACAATGCAATAGAATCATATAAAATAGCCAAACTAATGCTAATAATAGTGGTGATTTTTCTCACATTATTATTCTAAACTGTTCTTAGAAAATGACAAAAAAAATAAATCATTGGTGGTACTATAGGTTAAATATTTCAGGTGTAGTCAGCAGAAAATACTACTTGAAACACTAAAGACTACTGCCCTCTAGTGTCATTTTTAGGTCTTTGCTATAGATTAAAATACATTGTAATTTATGTTTGACATAGAAAAATTCCAATTATTCTAATACATTTTTTTTCAGTGGCCACTTTTACATTAATGATTCATCCAAAGGTGATAATAAGCAAAATCCTATTAATTATTTTGTGCCTTTTTAAAGTTTGATGAGAGTGCTCCCAATGTGATTAAGGAACAATAAGATGTTAATTAACTTATTAATATTACTTATCCTCTGATGACATATGATAATATTCACTGCAACTTAACCAATTTATATTTTAGGTTAGTTTCTGTTGGTAGGCACTGATTTGAAAAAAAAATCGTGTACATATTCTGCAAATAATACAAAACAAATCATGAAAGGGGATTTTAAATGGTCTTAATATTCTGAAAATGTTTTTTAAAGAATAATATAACAATGGACATACTTTTGTAAAAGGCTACTTAAATTTTAGGTACTTAAAAATTTGAAATTACCAGTATTGCTACCTAATACTTTCAATAACAAAATCACAATTATGTGGCATTCATGTTGATCATAATCTTTACTATGCCACATAGCTATGTAGGTTTCTTCAAGTCTAACCTGTGGAGTAGTAACTCTGAAGGGAGTCCCAGTGGTGGGCATGGCTGGGCGTGGGCTAGTGTTGTTTTGGGCCTGTGCCTGTGCCTGGGCTTGGGCCAAAGCATGCTGAGGAACCATCACGAGCTGCCCGAGTTCCGTGCGCACCAACACCATTCCTGCAAGTTACCAAAGAACAGACATTGGAAAATGTGGATTATTTCAATTGATATGGATTTGTACAAAATAGGGCAGGGTAACACTTCACATATCTGTACTTACACTTCATATCTTTTTATTTTCATTATGCACTGGAGGTAGGACCTTTAAATATTTGAAATATTGTTATAATATTGTTAAATTATCATATTTATGTTCTCTGATTACAAACACTCTTTTCAAGCGTGCATGAGCAGGAGCAGGAAAAAGATGAGGGATTCCAAAGAGACAGGGGACAACTGCTGCATTATACAGTTAGTGTGTTGCAGTGTTTTAATCTGTGTATTAACAAAGACACAAAAATGACAAGGTGAACCAAACAAAATGCATTTTAGACATTGAAACATATTGTATTGAATACTTACACTACCAAGGAAAAAATAAAACCCAACAAGTACTGTCTTAGATGTTTTATTATGTGTGTGAACTGAAGTTTTGTTTTTTTTTTTGTTTGGGAGTTCAATCATTTAAACCTTACCAGGTGGAATGGTGAACCCAGGAGGGAGCTGTATTGTTGTTTGCTGTTGAGGTGGTCTGACAATCAACTGAGGAGTTACAATCCTTTGAGGTGCTGTGACTCCTGGACGGGGCTGTGGAGAAGTGACAACGGCAGGTGTTGGAGAGGCAGCGGCTGGTCTGGCCACAGTAGTAATTGTAGTGACTGTAGATTGTCCAGTACCACATATAGATGATGTTGCCACCACTGAAAGATTACTGGGAGCCATAGATGCAGAGTTCAGAGGTTGATTGGTGGTTGTAGTGGTTACTGTTGTTGTAGCTGCTAATGTTGTGGGGGTAGAGGCAGTATCTGATGAATTGTTATCTGAATTCATATGAGCAGTCTGACTTGACAGTTCAGATTTAGAGAGAGATTCTTCAGTACAGGGAGTCACTGAATCTCCAGCCTCTTTAGTACTGTGATGAGTTCCTGTGGTGTTGACGGGTCCTATGTGAGCACCCCGCTCTACCAAAGCGGATACACTGGTACCGTTTTGGGCTATGCTGGCCACGATATGGTTAGGTAGTCTGTGGAGAGCAATAGTAGGAGTACCCCGGTCTAGAGCAATCGCAGCCTGCCCTGACGAAAGGGTAAAAGTTGAAGTGTTCGCAGAGGGAGGTGCAGACCTGGGCGAGTTGGGTGATGCGCTGCTCTCTCCGGGAGATTCTGCTGTTGCGGTGTTGCTGCTGTTCCTCCTCGTCGTTAGAGCGGCTCCGTTCAAACTCTTAACGCGGGCAGCAGCAGCAGTCCTCCGCGGGGTAGTTAAGCGCTTTCTCGGTGATATAACCCCCGTTGAGGTTTCGGTCGGACTGGATGAGACCTTATGGCTCCGGTTTGCCGCGGTGCTGATGCTGACCGTAGATGTCAGAGTTGACACGCCAGCTGCAGATAGTGTTGTGACGGATGCTCCATGTGATTGTAGGCTGCTGTTAGAGGCGTTCACAGCGGCAGGTGGAGAAGTGGATGTCTCACCGAAAGACTGTGAGCAGTCCGAAGAAGGAGAGGTGATGCTTTTATCTGGAATGGCGCTTTTTGAATTGTTACCCTGGCGCATCCCGGGTTTATTACAGCGTCCTTGTTGTTGTTGTTCCTGTGTTATGATACCTCCTGGAGCTGGGAGCGTTTTTCCCAAGTGATGGTTAGCATGTGCCACTGAGCCAGCACCTCCGTTTTCGTCTGGTTTACCCGGTGCGTTGCTTTGGCCTGTAAGCTGAGACTCCAACGATCCCACTAGGTCACTCACAGCCTTTTCATCCACCTCTGAAAAGAGCATATCTTCCAGGGGGTCGGAGGCGCCCGCCATCTCTGCTCACAGATAGCTGTTGTATTTTGCATGGCGCATGCGTGTTACTAGGCATTGTGGGAATGAGTTTTACGTCATTATATAAAGGGAGCAGACAAGGGGGTTCATCGTGCAGACTGGACCTTTGGGGCTTAGAAGGAGTGACCCTCTAATAATTAATCATGTTCTATTTCTGTTTAATTACATAACACCTTGCCCACAAATGTTTGTTAATTATAGCCTTGCATTTAAGTCTAGGAGTCTAGATCTAGAAATAAAAACACAAATCCATGTATAACAAAAGAAAGGAGCAAATGCCGCTATTTCTTTGCACAGATTGAAGTACTTTGCTATAGCATAGGATTTGTAAAACATACACAAAGTGCACAGCATGTGCAATGCGTATGTGATAAAGTCATGATTGAAATGTGGCGGGTTTAAAAAGAGGAGGAAACTTGATCAAATGCTTTGTCCTGTTTTGGCCCCCCCATTCCTTTTCTCCCAGCATGCTTAGCGGTGGGTGAAGAGAAATGAAAACGGCCATGTCGTGGTGGTAGATCAGTTCAACTCAAACCTGAGGATAACTCATTTCCTCGTGTAATGTAGTTAGCTTTGTCTCGCAGTTTAAATTGCAGCTGCCTTTTCACTGGGCGTACGCAGTTGGTTTTATTTATCGTGTAAATTGAGAGAGCACCAACATGAGTGGAGGAGGGACGCCTTACATTGGCAGCAAAATTAGCCTAATTTCTAAGGCCGGGATCCGCTATGAAGGCATTTTGTACACCATTGATACTTTAAACTCGACTGTGGCTCTTGCTAAAGGTAAGATCAATAATTTAGTGTAAGTTAACAATTCGAGGAAAATATTAGAACTGTAGAGGGTAAATAAAATGAGTTGCGTTGCTAGTTAGCTAACTGGTTACAGCTAATGCTATGCTATAATTGTTGGAGTTGTCCTCCGTTCTTTGTTTACGTTTTGATAAATTAGAACAGGATCAGAATCATAGTCACATTTGGCCATAGTGACACAAGAGAACACAGTGGGCACTTTAAAACAAGATAAAAAAAACTAAACAACGTTAAACACCACCACCTGGAAAGTGCCCATAATATATAATCATTATGGATTACATTGCAAACTTTCAGAACAACTAGGACCAGTTTGTGTTTTATTGTCTTCACAGTTCGGTCTTTTGGGACTGAAAACAGGCCGACTGATAGACCCATTCCTCCTCGAGATGAGATATTTGAATACATCATCTTTAGAGGCAGTGACATAAAGGACTTGACTGTATGTGAGGCACCCAAGACTACTACCTCCCCTCCACATGATCCTGCCATTGTTCAGGTATGTTCCAATTTTTACATTGTTATTGTGCTTTTGTGCCTGAAGTCAGTTGCAGCTATGTGTGCTATGGTTTTAGTCATCACTTGGATCTTCTGCCAGTGGAGCTGCACCGTCCTCATCATTTCAGTCTGCTGCTTCCTTCAGCAGTGTTCCTGTGGCACCCTATGGTCAGTTTGGAGTTGCCCATCAATTTGGATCAACTGTAGCAGGTAAATGTAGTCTTACAATTCAAATATAATTTCATCAAAGTTTTACAATTGTAAGTATGATGTGGACCTCTAAGTAATAAAAGTTGACAACCATTAAAATGATGGCAGATCGCACAAGTCCCTCACTGGATGCCTTAACCAAAAGCCCAACCATAGAGCAAGCTAAGCCGCCTCAGTCTGCAGCTCCTGCTCCACCTGCACCTGTAGGGCTAAGGGCTCAAGCAGTAGCATCAGTGCCCAAGGCCCCCATCTCCTCCTCAACTAGTGTCAGCCAGAAGCCACCAGACCTTCTTGAACAGAGAAAATGTAAGGGCAAGTCTTGCATTATAAACTGCTTTAGAACTTTTCTCAGAAAATGGGTGAACTGTATGTAAAGGCACATGTAATGAGTTAGAATTCATATTTTGAATTAATTTCATTGCATACTTTATTTTTCACAGCATTGGAAGTTCAGAAATTGCCTGAAGCAGAAAGTGACATCACTGCTGAAACCCAAGATGCTAATAAGCACCAAGCTGGTAAGAATATTTTACTCCACTGTAATTTCCATAAAAAATGTGCACCCCCAGTTTCACACAGTGATCATTTTAATTTTAAAGTACAACTGTGAATGTCTTTATCACACAAAGTGCAAACATGAATTGGTTCATTTCACACACTTAAACTGCTAAATACTGTCTTTGAAAAGACTACAAAATTGGTAAAGTAGACCCGTTGTAATGAGTACTGTTGCAGAGAAATGGCAAGCATTGCTGATCAATACTCTTAAATCTACATTGGTTGTCACATTGGTAGGTTGCTTATGGCATTCAGAGAATGGGCATTAGACACATGATGCCACATATTTCATGTAGTGCTTCCTTGTGGAAAAAAAAATCTTAAAGGTAGCAATTTAAGTATTAATGATGTGTGTATAATTTGTGTTTTGTTGAGACTATGGTAGATCAGGTGATAAACTTGTTTTTCATTCACTTATTCTTTAATCAGGAATTCTTTATCGGCATTGATATTGACATGAACCTTATTTTTAGCTTCTTTTTTTAAATTTTTTTTATATAGCTTCTGCTCAGGCTGTACGGCGTGGCCGTGGAAGAGGAAACCGCAGCAGAGGCCGAGTAAACATGCGCAGGGATGGTACGATGAAGTTTGAAGAGGATTTTGACTTTGAAACTGCCAATGCTCAGTTTCATAAAGATGACATTGATAAGGAACTGCAAAACAAGCTTAAACTCAAAGGTATAAAATGGCTGAATCAAATAAGTACTGCATTTACATGTAGGAATAATGACTTGCGTTTGGTACTACTTATAGATGACAAAGCTGATAAGGCACTAAATGGAGAGGAAAGTGCTGATTCTGAACATACACCTAATGAGGGGGCAGCTGTGGAAGAGACTGTCATTAACACATATTATGACAAATCCAAGTCCTTCTTTGATAACCTGTCCTGTGATGACTCAAGGTATACCCATTTAATTGTTCCTTTTCATGCCTGTCCTATACCAGAAATATAAGGATAAGTAGTGATTCAACAAAGCAGTAAAATGATGACAGGAAAAGAGTATCACAACTGGGTAGTGTTACTGGATAAAAGACTGTAGTGGTCAGTGTAGTATTTTTATTTTCCGTATACAACTGATGTGTGCTTTAATTTGGACATTAATACTCTCAGATCAAAGCTGAGTCTGCACTTAAAGGAAGGCTCTACTTAAAAAGTAATTGGACATGAGCAAGAACTGTATAGACTTTTCTTAGTGTCACGATTGAGGCAAACCAGCTTTTGGTGATGTCCATGGGTTCCAGACTCAGGCACATGCTGCTCACAAATCATTTTCTATATATTGAAGATGAACATTATACATGTAGTGTGTTACTTTTTTGTTCAAAAATGCACACAACATGATTATTTGAGTTCTGCATGCCAGTGCAGTGCATTTGGAATGATAAATCTGATGCAGTTCAAGATTGTAAGGTTTAATGGAGACTGATCTGGAAAATCCTGGGTAGCATAAAGAAACTGCAACTATTTTTAAATAAAGTTGCCTTATTTCAGTGCTCAGAAATGAACAAATAACGGACTCACTAGGCTCTGGGTGCCGTCCCCAGTTTGTCTTTACTGCAGATTTCCATACCTTTCCCATTTTTGTTGTACTTTTTATATGTCTGATTACTTTAAACCCCCCAGTAAGACCCAGCTTCATCTTAAAGACCAGGGGCCTCATTTCTAAAACTTGCTTACGCAAAAATCCGTGTGTGCGAGCGAGCTTCCTACGCCAACCGCGGTATTTATAAAACTCGACTAAGGCGACTCGACTCTTGGCTTAACTCTACGCCAACTCGGGACCTCCTGTAAGCTCTACGCAAAGTCTGGAGACACAGGGAAAAAGCGACACTCGTGGAGAGAAGCAGAAGTGAACAGAGTTTGAGGAAGTGTTTGATCAGAAAATCCACGTATATAGAAGAATTACCTTCAGATTTGCGCATTTAAATGTTTGGTTCGCCAAAACAAGGAGAAGGGCTGCTTATTCCATTCATTATTCTCCACAATATTATACATTTGAAACTCGTGCACGAGCGCGGCCACATTCCCGGACACGGTGTAGCGTAGTCTCCCACAGTCCACACCGCGACCATACACTTCTATAGAGCACAGTCTGTGATCAACACAGAGGACGAAATAATGACCCGACCTGAGAGAAAACTTCCCTTGGATGCAGCAGGAGCCAGGCTTTGATTTAATGAACGCAACTTTAACACTTTTACTTTAGTCTTTACGCACCGAGCGCCAGAGTGACCCGAGTCTGCGGACAACACGAAGCCTACTACCCGAACCTGACCCGAACCAAAATCTTCCCTACATTTTTGTGTAATGTGGAACTCTTGCACATGAGAGCTGCTCTCTGAGTGTATGAAGAACAGAATAATGCCCGTCCCGACCCAGACCCACACTCACAGAGGTCAGACCCAGACCCACACTCATAGGTGAGCAGTTTGGATGTTTCGTGTGGACTTTAATTGGCAGAATAACATCTGTATCTGATGTGTTTCGTGATAAATCTGTGTCCTCGTATCCTCGTGTCCCTCCCTCGCTCCTTTCCCTCTCCAGGGGAGGGCATCTGAATCTCTCGCACGCGCTCATAATTTGACCATTCAGATCAGCGCGTGCACATATCTACGTGTATATGCATATATATATAGGGCCAGTCCACACACACATCATAGACAGACTTAAAAATATAGCGATAAAACTCTTGAAACAGCGAAAAAACACATGGGCTTTACTGCAAAGATGTGCTGCCTAAATATTATGAAATATAATTAAATGAACAGATGAGTCATTGTTGTCACTTTTAGTTTTGTATTTATTTATTAAACCTTGTTTAATAAAGTCTTTAATAAAGTCTTTGACGTAACTGCGTGGTGCTGCGTGGAGCGTCCCCCTCCCTCTGTCCCGCGTGTCTCGGCCAAACCCACTGATTATCGGCTCATGTTTATGGAAATCTCATTCACGGTCACTTTACATGCTCCTTTTATGGTGAGGTGGAGGTGTGGAGAGGGCGTGACGTGACGTGGGTTTACGTGCGCAAATTGTAGTTGCAGGTGGGATTTATAAAGCAAAGATTGCGTGGTTTGGTGCGTGCGGTGGGTTTTCTAAATATGGAGTTTGCGTGGCGCCTGTTGTAGCTACTAGGTGTACGCACTAACTTACAACAACTCCTGCGCAGTTTTTTTATAAATGAGGCCCCTGAACTGTTGCTCAAATTTGGGCATTGTTTGAGATAAAACTTTTCTGATATTTCCCATCAGACATGATGTTGTCCGTACTCTACGGCCATAACTATATAACTGTAGCTTGAATAAGTTTGGTTTACTGTCTTAATACTTTTGGACCTAACCACATGTTCTTTCTCTTAAGGAAATCAGGTGAAAGAGGATTTTCAAAGTAAGTAAATTCTTTTTAGTCATGTTGAAGGAGGCAGCATTGATGCTCTCCTAACTGTTCTTTTGACTTTATTGAAATAATAATCAAACATTTGTCACTATAAAGCAGGGTTTCAGCTGGGCATTAAAAAGCATTAAGTCATTAAATGGAGCCTATCTAAAAGCATTAAATTTAATTTCAATCAACATAAAAAATATTGGCAGTTGTGCCAAAAATATTTCTCGTATCTAGCTAACAAAGAATGCACCCTGAGCCGAGTTGATAGCGTGCCCCCAAGCTGGGTAGACAGAGTGCTCGAGGTAGACAGGTAAGGTGTTGCGTTGTGGTCCAATGTGGGGGACAGGCTTGCTGCAGAAAAGCTGCTGTTCCAATGTGGAGCATGTCCTGTATCCCCTCGCTTGGACTTCAGCTGTTTGATCGCGTCTTGGAACCAAGAGCCCCGGATAGTGTTAACCGTTAAACTCGCGTGGATGAAGGAGCTGTTCAGAGGGCTTTGGCATTTAATTTCCCTTTATGCTGCTTACATTCAATTGCAGTGGCCACATAAGACACTGCTGTGTCTAAAGTATGTACAACATTAAATGCACTGTGGCATAATGCATAACAAGTGTAAGCTAGTCTGTGCAAAGACTGTCAAATTACCTGCACTTCCATAATGTGCCAAGTCTATGGATATATGTGCAGTTTGCACATTTGGAGTAGGATGATTGGGCCCGTGTTTTTTGATAGGAATTTGGACAAAAAAACAAAAACTTAAAACTGCACATGCTTTAATGTAAGTATTTTTACTGTTAGAGATAATATAATGTGTTCCGAGTCACAGTAGGGGAAAGCTATGTAACTAATCATCAAAAGTCTCTGGGTATGTGACTACAAAAAGTTTGGGACCAACCACTCCAAGAGTATTTTAAAGGAAACCTTCAATTATGGGCAGGTCGCACCGGCTTAATGTGTGTCTTCATTTGTTTCTTGTGCATGTCCCAGCAATATTATAGTGGACAGTAATTTTGTCTGCAAACATTTTCAATATATGCATTGATCCCAAATCCCTAACGCTTTATAAATGTTTGCATTATAATAACTAACTATAGGTTCTTTTCATTCTGCTGAGTGGTCACAAAAAGATCACTTTGACAAGGTGAAAGCTTAAAGGTGCACTGTGCAAGTTTTCTGGTGGACGGTCCGTCACGTCCATGTTTTTATTGATGTCATTGCTCTGCCTGGAATGCTCCACACTATGACATTAAACTTACATTTATTAAATTACAGGTGATTTTGTAGCTCAAAATACCTAGAAAAACAGGCATTCTGCCTGTGAGCGGGATTGTTCTCCACAGATCTGACTTGTTACTTGGACTGGTTTGGTCTCCATGAATATAAAAAAGGTTTAATACCATACTGTGAAACATTCCAGACAAAGTAATAACATTTCCATGGAGAAAAGCATTTGATGGACCCTCTACCAGAAAAGTTACACAATGCACTTTTAAATATCTTTCTTTCCACATCTGTTAATGGCATTAAAAGCTTGTTGAACCCTGCATAAATTAGAACAGTAGTTTTATTAATATTTTAGTTGATGCTAAGGAATTATTATGTTGTGTTTTCAGTCACAATGTCCTTAGAGTGACAGTCTTGGACCCAGTACTGAACTTTTACATGAAATATTTGGTTTATTTTTGCTTTCTACATAAAGTAGTATATTGAGTCTTGTGTCCTGGTGCCAGGGACAGAAGGCCGACCTGGGCAGAAGAAAGGCGCATGAATGCAGAGACCTTTGGCATTCCTCTGAGGCATAGAGGCCGCGGCGGCTTTCGTGGTAGGGGAGGATTTGGGCCTCGAGGAGGACGTGGGCGACCCTCCAGCCGGGGTTCATTTGGGCCTCCTCGTGATGCACCACCGGGGTTCAGAGGGGGATACAGAGGAGGAAGAGGACGGGACTTTTCTGACTTTGAATACAGGGTAAATTACCCATTTTATAAACTTTTCAAGCTCTTTATTTTAAATGTGTAACTTTTTTTTACCCATCTTTCAGAAGGATAACAAAGTTGCAGCATAATTCCACAAGCAAACCACAAAGAAGTGAAGCTCCTCTTCATGAATTTTGTCAACCGCAACTGTGCCCCTGTTGTTTAATACTCATAAGAGTTTGAAGACTGTACCTTAAGAAATATTTTTGCATCAGTTACAGTCTTTTCTTAAAGAAGTTGATAATGCAAGTGAATTGCTAAAATCACTTTTGTTACTGTGAGTAGATCACTTCTTGTGATCAGTAGCTAGTTTATGTTCTGCTTTTTTTTTTTCCTCCAGTAAGTCAGTGTAACAAAGCCAAATTAAGGAAACGCCTTCAAACTAAAATAATGATTTATGAATGTATGTTTTGCTCATATTTTGCAAAGTATCTTTATCAGAATTCATCTCTTGTTTTTCATCTGTTTACATTTTGTCAGTCAGTTGTTTGTCAACCATGTTTTTACATCTGCACACCTGTGGAAGTGATGTATGGGAACCTAAAGCATAGGCATTTTTCCACACATACAGCGTTGGCGCTTTATTTTGTCCATTGCATTTTTAACACTGATATTTGTGAATATACCAAGCCAGTAAGATATTGTAACAGAACACAGTCGGTAATTATTAATTGCTATTTTCTTGTATGGGGCGGCCAAATCAAATCTTTCAGTAAAAATAAAGCTGAGATATTTTTTCCCAAAATTTAGTTTTACATTTTGTCTTTGTCTGGTTTTGTTCTTTTGAGGAAACTACAATCTGTATCTGAGTCTTTAAATTTGTTTAACTATGACTTGTTTTATTTTTATGTTTTCACTGCTCTCTCTTTAAGTTAAAGTTGCAGTGATTGCTGCACAAATAAAATGAAAACTGCAATGATTAGTTTAAGAGTAATTGGGAATGAGGTTATTTGCTTTAAGGTATAGTAGGCTAGTGACATTTTAACTTTCTGTAAGCACACTGGTCACTTTTTATGTGTTTAGACAAAAAAAAATAATTCAACCACAAAGGGTCTTCATGTCTGGGTGCAATATACAGTATGCTGTACTGCAGATTAAGTGTATATCATTAACTGTATCCTTAAATACAGGATTTTATAAACGTCGAAGAAACAAACCCATTAAGAAACGTGTTGAGCGTATGAGATCACTGCAGTTGTACTTAAGTCCACAAGATGGTGCGTATGTATGGCACATATTGTCTTTGCTTGTTCTGTCCAGTAGCAGGCGCTAGATGTCAGACCGTGACATATATATTGGGTAGTCGAAGAAGAACAAAAACCGTAACGCTGATGCGTAAGATGCGTAAGATGCATTGATCTATAAACAGACTTTTATTATAATTTTGTGGCCAGATGTAGGATAGCCATACGGTCTATGAGGATAACACGTTAGCTCAAGCGCCGAAACATCAATATGTCTATCGTTTTCGTGCCAAAAAGGCTACGAGGGAAAGCGAAAATTAACCAAGAAACAATACAGCAAGTAAGTCATGTTTTAATCTATCACACCGCTCACCAAGCAGTCTACTAAACTATTATAAAATTGTTAATACAGCATAAATCTAATATCTATGGATGCAATGCTAGGAGCTAGCGTAAATGCATATTTATTTTTCAAGTGGTTTGGGTTTAGAAACAAGTGTTATGGTTTGTTGAGGTTAGGAACAGGGTCGTGGCAGCACTCTGCAGAACTGCGTTGGTGGAAAATGTCTTGTTTAATCATAGAACTATAATAAAAGTCTGTTTAATACCAAAATAACGAAACGTTTGTTTTGTTTCTACATCAGCTTCTAGATGAAAACGACCAGTTAGTGAGATGTATCACAGAATATATGCAGAAGGGAAGAGCTGCAGAGTGTGTCCAGTAAGTCACAGCATTTTAAATCTATTATCGATTTAGACATGCTCATATTCTGGTGTCGTTTTTTCCAGGTATCAACAGATATTGCACAGAAACATAGTGTATTTGGGAACAATAGCTGATGCAAGTCCTGACACAGAACCATCGGATTCGTCTTCAAAGGTATAAAGAAGTGTTGTATGAAACATTTGTGTATTATGTACTGGTTTAGGGCATCATCATCTCTTTCCTTTTTCAGGCCACATCTGGTGAAGGTTCTTCTGCTACATCAACGGCAAATGGTCACCTAGATGGATCATAAATGAGTAGTTTTATTGTAATGCCATTATCAAAGTATCAATTGTAGGATTGGTTCAGGACCTCTTTGCTTTTTACAATAGGAACCACATGACACTTTGTACTGCTAATAAATTTTATTTATTTTTTTGCATTGCTGGTACACTTGTAAAGATTCAGTTGCCAGCTCAAGAACAACAAGCAACGTAAGCCAAGCAGTTCCCCTTTATATCTTTTATCAGGGCAACGTGTATTTTTTACTATGTAGAAGCTGCTAGTAAACCATTTGACACAGCTGAGAAGCCAACGGTTACAGTCCAGGGTCTGTAAAGATGTATGTGAGAAGACTGCAACAGTTGGGGATAACAGACAAAAAGCAACAAACCCTATCTTGATTGTGCAAAGCACATAACTATAAAAAAGATATATTTATGTATATACAGCAAACAATTCTCTGTAAACATGTTAACATAGTTTTCTGAAAACATGGTGTCTTCTCATAAATACAGGCAACATTGGCATCCGCAAACATCACAATAGATAACATTCTGGGTGCTTAAATTCAACCCATTGCCATATGGAAACCAAAGAAACAAGGGATCCAAAACACCCTCATCACACCAAATTGTAGTGTTTAAAATGGCATATTTGGTAACTTTTTAAGATGACAGAATAACTATATGAAAATGTGCTTTTCACATGTTGGGAGGTGGAAAAATGTATTATGAAATATGCCTACAAGAATACTAACATACAGTAATGGTATAACATGTAAGAAAATACAAAAATAAGATTAATACTGTCAACTATGCACAAAAATATTGTATTATTCAAAACATTTATGGGAGTTAGTGTTAATCTCAAACAAACTATCAATTGTAAAAACAAATGAGTTATGTGAAGTCTCCCAAAGCTTTCCTCAACTGGGGTCTATAACTTCACTGCTTATTTCTATCGCTCATTTCTCCAGCACCAGTCATTTTTGCACGCTTTGGTTGGAAAAAATATTCTGCAAGTGCTTTCAATACCAACATGGCACACAGTTACTGCTAGAATTCTGGTCAGTTGTTGAAAAAGTAGTGTATTTCTTTCAAATGACACCACTGCAGTGACAAACTATATTAATGCTGAGCCTGCTCAAAGCCTTTTTTTTTTTTAAAAAAAAGAACTAAATATTTATATTCTATCTTCAGTATTTTACAAGCTATGAAACAGTAGATGCTAGCTGTAGTCTGGGTCATCTTTGTGAGATTTGGCAGTTACAGCTATGTTGACACAGTATATTATGGGCCCAAAAAGAGTATTCCTGCCCCTCTGCAACCCACTCCAAATTTACTGTAAATTTAGCTGCAGAAGCTGCAAGTCTCCAGCTCTTGTCTGAGGAGATAGACTGGTTTGACAGTCTGTTCGACAGACAGAAACGACCATTAGCATTTCTACTGCTAAATATATTGGTACGTAAAATATGGCAGTTCAAGAAATGTTGGTGTTGAAATGGGTTTGTATGGTATGAAGCCAGCCAGTGTCTTTACAGTTTTATACTAGGCAGGTTACCATGCAGTCTTCAATCGAAGGTATGGGCTATCAAGTGCATTCCTACACATGTGGCTCACAGATGATCAGAACTCCAGGCTATGTACCAGTACTATGAACTACTAGTTTTAGTACTGGTGAAGGTAAGAAGGCCTGTGCTCATGTTTGAGGGGAAAGGATTTAAAGCCCTTGGTCATGTGTTTGTGTTGTTGCTGTTGTTGCTGTTGCTGCTGCTGCTGCTGCTGCTGCTGGGTGAAGGGAAAACCAGAGGAGATGCCCGTGGCAGAGGAGCAATCGCTGGCAGTGGACCACACTGGCGACTGAAGCATCTGCATTGAGTCACTCCACTGTGATGATGGTGGGATATTCATCTGGTACAAGGAAGAGCTGGGATTGGGCATGGTGTTAGTATGAGTGTTGGAGTGTTGCCAGGGTGCTTTTGGAGGCCAGGTTTTAGTTTTGCTGTCCTGTGAACAAAATTAAAATTTAAATAGGGTGTACACTTTGTCAGATTGGAATGTTAATTTACCTGATTATCATCCCCAATGTGGTGAAGTGGTGGTGAGGGCAGCGTGCATACTTCCGGCTCTCCACAGCTGTGTTTTCTATGGACCGATCGTTGTTTAAGTTCAGAGTGAGCAGTAGCTTAACTTTCAGTTCTAGTATTTGCATCATACCTTCTCTGCTTAACTGCAGCCACAAGATCAGGGCCAGAAAACATTGAGAACAGACTGTCCCCATTGGCTGAGGAGGTTTCATCACTGGAGCTTGCGGAATCCCCTTGATTGGTTGACCAACTGCTATTTACAGTGTCGCTGAACGAAAAATATGAAAAACGTTTATCAAGAGGTGAGAGAAGCTGTAGAGAAGAGTCATCTTCCATGTGGTAGTGAAATATTTTAATCAGTCAGGTTATTAATGGCACTGTGCAGCTCCCATTTTTACATACATACCTCTCATTGTAGTACTCCGGGTGAGACCAGGTTCTGTGTTGCTGCTCTTCAGGCATTGGCCAATTACCGCGACTGTTGCTGGGGCGACGAATGTGCTGCACTTGCCTTTTCTGCTGCATGGCCTGACTGACACCAGCCACATAACGTGCAAACTCAGGGTCAGAGCCAACTGTGCAAACAAAGAGGATAAAGGCAACTATAAGTTTTGGCACAATCAGCTGTTCTGTTTTTATGTACCTAGGGCTCACATTGTTGAGCTACAATGGTAATCTGAACACAATGGTATGCAAATTCTCTTATGTGAATAATTATATTTGGGAATTAATCATTAAGCATCAAGAGTTAGTTCGTTAGTGGTATGTGTGTGTGTGTGTGTGTATATATATATATATATATATATATAGTTATTTATTTATTTATTTCCCCGCCACCAGTAGATGGTAGATGTGAAACCTCCAAATATTTATTAATTTGAAAATTATTCATTGCTTACCTGCCGGATCAAAGGGCAGAGTGTCTCCCAAGACACCAAAAGAGCCATCACCTTGGTCCCTGTTGGGCCAAGTATTGTTACGGGGCCCTTGAGGCTTTTGGCCCAGCATCTCATTCATCACACTGTCCATATATGTACTGACCAGTCCTAAACTATACAGGTCTGAGCTGAGGTCTGGCAGTCCATGGGAGCCCCACTGCCCAATGGGTCCCAAAGGTGAGAGTCCGCCTGGGGGCCCCTGTGCAGTAGGCTGCTGTCCAGATGGGCCCAGCCACTTGCTAGCCACTCTCTGTTGGGGCAGGACCTGAGGTGGAGTGGGCTGTGGAGGATGTGGAGAAGCAGGCTGCTGCTGACTGATAGGCTGCAGGAGGTGCTGGTAGTATGGCAGTGCCTGGGGAGAGGGCTGCTGAGGGCTGGGGCCCTGCTGCTGCTGCTGAGGCACCTGCTGCTGTGTTTGACAAGGGACTGGCTGTGCTTGGGCCTGGGGCTGGGGCTGCTGCTTCTGAATAGGGGCTGGAGGGCCGCCCTGTGGCTGTGACTGGGACAGGCTCTGGGTGGGTTGGAGAGGTTGGAGACTGCTATGGGAGATGGAGTGAGATGTTGGAGGGGCTCCGCTGGGGGGCTTAAGCTCAGCTGGATTGGCAGAGGCCACAGAATTTCTCCTTTTCACTAAGGGTGAGGCCTGCTGGGATTTGCCCATATTAAATCCTGAGAGAAAGTCAATGACATCCTGCATCTCTTGGTCAGTGGGCAGATTCATTCCCTGGTCGTCAGCCGCAGATCCATTGGCTAGCTGGTTTTGTGTGGAGGCGGGGCCACAGGGCAGGCTCCCCATTGGTAGGATACTCTGTAGCCTGCCATCACTGTTGGTCAGATTCTTCTTTTCTTCAGAAGCATTGTTTGTTAGCATGCTGCGAGATGGGGTGCTAGGAATAGAATAACTCCCTCCGCTATTAGAGCTAGAAGAGACCTTTTTGGTGAATTTAGATGTCAGCTTGGATATAGTTTTCGGCAATCCACTGGAGGTCTTTGAGCTGGTACCCGGGGGCAGTTCTGTCTGGTTGCTGAAATCTGGACTCTCCCGCTGTAACTGAATCTGGATAGTAGGCAGGGCCTGCTCTCTTCAAAGAGGAATAACACATGTCATTTATCAGCTACCACACTGTATCATGCTTTTTAAATTTTAATAAGCCTAAAACATACTTTCTCTCCTTCCACCTGTTGATATCAAACACTGCAGTGTACAGAACATCTACAAGCCCAAGGGTTTTCTCTGGATCCAGACTCCTCTGAAGCAAGGACATTGTAGCTGGGTCCTCCTTTAGGCACCTGAATATATTTTATATATAAGAAAATATAATATATTTTTTTAAAAGTTCCTTTTCCTCTTTAACCTCACCCAGCCCCAATTGTGTGTACCCTGGTTAAATCAATCCGTATACATATTTCTTTTTAACACCTAAAGATTAGCCTAAAGGTATTCATACTCTGGACTCATTTTGAAATAATGTCAAGTTCTGCACTAGCGCTACATAGTGACTTCACTTACCATGTAGAGGGAACTTGCACAAACACCTTCGATCCCTCCAATGTAATCTGGGGGGCATAGGATTCTTTATTTTCTATCTGGGCTGTGTCAACAACCACCTGTGAGATTACACAAATTCACAAATACATATGAGGCCACATGGCAAAAAATAATAATAGTAACATGATTTTAGAATCATATCCAGCAACCACAAAAAATAAGAAACTAATCCTAAAACTGCAGCTAGTTCGATGTCAACAGTGAGCAAATGAGAAAATTTATATCATGAAATGCAGGAAGTTACACCATTGTTTAACAGGTGTCTAATAGGAAAATGTGCTGGCAGTGGGGTTTGTGGCAACAATCTGACATGAGTGTATGTTTTTACTTTGATTTAAGCAGGAGTTGTCTCCTCAATACACCATAGACTTCACTAACCATAGGGTAAGCAGCCAAATAAAAATTGCATTCAAAATGGTAGAATCAGGAGTAAAAACATGGATGTTGCTGAATGCGTCATATAAATTCAATTCTATATATCCCCCCAAAAGACTAACAAAAAATGAAAGAACTCACCAGACCAGCCTGGGCAAAGAGCAGCTGGACAGCCGTCTTACATGCTCCTCTCCAGCTGGAAGGGCAGACCTGGTTAAGAACTTCTGTGACAGGAGACTCATTCGGGGTAACTCCATTTTGGCCCAACACATCCTTTAGGAGCTGCAGCATTGTGTGCTAAAAAAATAAAGAATTCCAAAAACAAATGTACTCCTCAGCCAGTACTCTGTGATAGAAGTAATGCTTTCCTGTAGGAAGGTAACAATATGTCTTGCCAACAGTGGTGCTCAACCTGTGTGTCTCTAATGCTACATAGCACGTACCATTTTAAGTTTAAGGTTTTCTGCTGCTGACTCATTAAAAGAAACTCCTTTGAGAAAATGCGAGCCGATTTGCACCGGGATTGTTGGGAGCTCACACTGGATTGGCTGAGAGGTGGTCTGCATCCTGCCAGCCTGCTGGGCTTCTGCATCACTGCAACAGCCCTGTTCACAAAGGTCAAAATAAAACTAGGTAAGAATCAGGATAAATTTAGTTTTTTCTAATGAATAAATCATGCTACCTAAGCTCATGACAAATGTTAAAGGTGCACTGTGTAACTTTTATGGTGGAGGGTCCAGCAAAAGCTTCTCTCCATGGTTTGTCTAGGATGTTTCACAGTATGGCATTAAATCTTTCTATCTTCACACAGGCCACGTTACAGGTCAGATCTGTGGAGAAGCGACCCCACTCAAAATTAAATTTTTTCTAGTTTTTTTTGCTATAAAATCATCTCTAATTAAATAAACATAAGGTCGAACTGTTTAATGTCATACTATCTAACATTCCAGGCAGAGCAATGACATATCCATAGAAACAAGCAGGTGACGGACCCTCAACCAAAAAGTTACAGAGGGCACCTTTAAGCCGCTCAACACCAATTGAAGCTTTTTGCATCAAAACACATTTGTTAGTTAACCTTATAACCAGTATGCTTACATTCTTTTCATTAGCCTATTAGCTGCAGCCCATAAAGAAAGGAAGAATTGAATTTTTGAAATGGGAATTTGATGGAAATTTGAGAATTCTGAGGCTAGTTGGGCCTAAACCATAGACTGTACAGTCTATGTCCAAAACAAAATATGCAATTAAGTAAATAGGAATTACAATTTTCTTTGAAAATGTGGGTTTGACCATAGACCGTATATATATGAATGGACATAGCTAACACGCTAGCAGCCACGTTCCAAATAGGAAGTGTGCCAAGGGGCTCTTCTGGCTCCTTCTGTCCCTGGCTCCAATTCACTTACACTGGGATCTTGTCGCCCCTCTCTCTGCAACTGCTGCAGTGAGCCTCGTCATTTTGGTCTTAAAATGTTCGTATTAACCCGCTCTACATGATCCTGAATTTTTCATTTCACTATTTTGTCTCTAATACAAGACATGAACATAAATAACGGACAAATCAGGTGCCTTCATTCCCCAAGGTCGCTCCCGCTAGTGTTAGCAGCAGGTTTGAATGACAGCTAATGCATTTCATTGCTAAGTAAGCCCCCTTCCCACTTTCCGGTGAGAAGGGCAGGCACATTTAATGACCTCAATCATGACTGGCTCTTGTGGGTGCTATGATAATCGCGGTCAGATTTCTGAATATGGACACTGGCTCCAAATTCGCTCCTGTAACCATTAGCATTGGGAGGTTTATTTGAGTGGCGCTGAACGTTGTGGGTGACGTCACATTCACTTAGTCCACTTCTTTTATACAGTCTATGGGTTTTACAGAAAAAACTTAACACAAGACCACAAAAGGCAATGTAATGTATTCCAATGGCCCACATTCACAAAACATGCATTAAAAAAAAATCCATGTTCATAAATAATATTTAAATTAGACCTGTATTAGTGTGGTTTCAATTATTTTGGCCCCATTTCTTTAATGGTACAGTGGTTAAACTTGGCTTGGACCTGGTCATCAAATAGTACTATCAAATAAATTTCAACTTATCCTTGTATTGGTTCAGGCTTTATATTTAGTATATATTTAGTATATATATATATAGTATATATATATATATATATATATATATATATATATATATATATATATATATGCGTTAACTAATAAAGTCATTAACACCGACAATTATTTTTTAACGCCGTTAACGCAGTTTTTATTGTTTATTTATTTATTTTATTGTAAACGTCTGTTTCTCACTGGCATTTATTTTGAAAAAGTCCACCGCGAGCGTTTCTTTAAGTTTGACGTCTTTTCTTGACACTTTTTTCTGACCACGTGAGATGCAACGTGCCCAAGCCTCCGCGAGCCGCTGGCCCGGTCGTGGGTTCGGCAGCAGGCTCCGGCTCCGGCCGCGGGCTCTCGTCGCGGGCTCCGGGTTCGGCCGCGGGCTCTGGTCGTGGGCTCCGGCTCCGGCCGCGGGTTCGGCCGCGGGCTCCGGCCGCGAGTTCGGCCGCGGGCGTTGGTCGCGGGCTCCGGCTCCGGCCGCGGACTCAGCCGCGGGTACCGGCTCTGAGCTGAGCTTATTTCTTTAGTTCAGTGCTGGAGTAACTGATTTACCCAGATACCATTGGAAGAAAAAATGTGATTGGTCCATTTCCATTCCATTATATTAACCCTTTGTTTCCTAAGAAATATCAGTCCAAGTTTATAACACTGATCTAAAAATTATTACTAGTGTAGTGTTCATTACTCACAGCATAAAAAAATATTCAATAAATATATTAGTAGTACAAACGTCCATTCAATATTTTTTCTTGAGCCTTCCCTGAATACCTTGAAGGCTCAGAGGGTTCCCCTGTGAAAGAAATGCTGTTTGCCCAACAAATGTGTGGCTCTTTCATTTACATTTCCGCTATACTCTACTTTTTAATTCATTAATTGGTTTTGCGTATAACATGTGATTAATCGTGATTAATCGCTCAAACTCATGCGATTAATCACTATTACATTTTTTTATTTTTGCCCAGCCCTAATATATATATATATATATATATATATATATATATATATATATATCCTTATACAAAATGATCATACCTGTAAGGCAGTCTCTATGGACTTGGGGCTGAGGTGAAAGCCGGCCTTCAAAGCATACTCACTATGCCCCAGGCTTTCTAGTGCTGCTTTGTATGCCTGGAATTAAATGCCAAACCAACAAACTTTACAACAAATAGTGATGAGAAAAGTTGGTCTTATTGGATTTTTGTGTACCTGTAAAGCATTATCAATCTTCATGTTGAGCTCCTTCAGCTGATGCTCAGGAATAGTGGTGGTGTTTGAGCAGAAGAGTTGCTGAACCTGGATGCCTGCCAGACAGCCATCTCGGCCTCTTTCTCTTAGCCTTGCTGTTGCCTAAGAACAGTCCAATAAGTTCATGAAATACCATTGTAATGCATCAATAATGTAACAGGAAGAACATGCCAATAAAAAACACCCCAACACAAGTCTCTGCAAACTTAGTCACTAACAACCTGTAATATTTTTATCTCAAATTCTTGTCAGCACAAAACTGTAAACAACATGTTATAATACATTTCACAAGTCCAATGTGATTGATGACCACTGACCAATGCTTTAGCTGAACTTTCACAGGTATCAACACAGCAATAGAAAAAAAGAGGTTATAAACATTATCTCAAACTTGAGAAGGAAATGAGATTTCCTCCAATGTACACCGTAGAGCATTTGCTGAACAGTTTTCCAGTGTAGGCATGCTATACACATAGTCTAATGAGAAAACCAAGATCCTGTGGCACCCATTGTCACCACAACATACCTCAGTTGCTCCTCTCCATGAGCGAGAGGCTTCATCTAGCTCTGTAAGGGGTGCATGCTCAGAGCTTTGGGAGCGGATATTGGCACAACGCTCTTGGGCCTGAGCCAGAGCTTCTGCCAAACATGACTGGGTCACAGGCTGCACCTTCTGCAATGCCTGGGACAGGAACTGGAAATGGACCTGCATCACCGTGAGGAAGCACCTCCCCAACACCTACAAAACAAATAGAAAAACACTTGTGCTTACAAACACAATAGAAGCCACAAAGCATAACAACTTTGTAAGGCTGACTAAATCATTTAACTCATCTTAAATGTTTGGCAGTATCAATATAGCTATCTATCCATCCATAACAGACATACTATATGTAATTAAAATTTTGTGTTTTTTTAATAAATCTTTCTTTTCAGAAGAACAGACTTCTGAGTACAGAAACTGGACACCACATAGTCCACTATTGGCAATGGGTGCTTTTTCAGGTACCAGCTGAAAATATCTTCAGAGGGTAGCTATGTTGTTACACCACAAGTATTTGCTATTTGGGTGAGATGACAACAGGGAATACAAACTAAAGCACATGGCACTGAGTGGGCTAGTAATATGTAGAGATTGACTGGCTGATATATGGACTTTTTAGCGCTTTGGCTATCGGCCTTAAATCTAACAGCACAAGTTGATATTTTGTTTTGGTCAGTTTGCTGGCTAGAACATACACAAGTTATTTAAGACTTTAATATGAAGAGATAACTGCACTAAACATGACTATACTGCTTTCTTAAAGATTTATAGTTAAAAAAAAAAAAAAACGTTGTAGGTGAGTTTACAGTACATTTAAAATTACATAATTTGAGGAAAATATATAACTATATAAACAACCCAAAAATATACAATACATAAGTAACACATAATGTAATATATAAAACATAATCTTCGTAAACATGTGAATGAAGAATATGTAAATAGAAGAAACTGATCCACTGACAATACCACAGGTATTTTGATACACGGAACAATAGCTGTGGCAAGAGACAGGTGCCTTTTCTAAGCAAGGCTGTGTTCAGGTTGATAAATGCTGGACTGGTGATTTGGACTGGCTGGATTTTAAAAATGTGGAAGGTGACTTGAATATGTGTGTGTTGTTTTTTCCCATTTTTTAAAAAAGAAGCAGAGCCAAACTAAAATTAAAATCTTCTCCAAAACTAACAAATTTATTAGATGGTTAATCAGTAGATTAGTGTTTCTTTAAAATAACTAAAATGTATTTATTTGTATAATTATTTGATTTATTATAATAAAATTGCCAGATGACACTAGCTTTACCAGACCAAAGCATTTAATTCTTCAGGGATTAAACACTTTATGACCTGGATTTAGGCCACAAGTGCATCCAGTTACTTCTGGGTTTGTAACTACCATAATTGCCATAAAATAATTTAAGAGAATATTCAACTGTATAACTAATAGCCCAGCCCAGAGAATCCAACCAACACTGGTTCAAAAGTGCTTCCTGTTATGGTTTAAGCCACATTCATTGCATTCCTACTCATGACACATCACAGCTATTGTCCACTCTCACAATTACACTGTGGGGGATTTAAGAGACAGTGGCATAAATGTACCCATTTCATTAATAACTACATTGTATTATTAAACAATTATTCAGTTTATAGACTTATAGCATGTGCTTAATCACAAGTCAAGCCTGTCTGATATCAGTATTAAATATTATGCATTATATCAGATTGAGAGCAGTGAAAAGATTGCATGGTATGCAGAGTGACTTTCTATCTCACATCCTGAGTGTTTTTCACACTTAGCGCTTAGATCCTGACACAGGCTTAACACTGGGTGTGAGAATGCCACTGGAGCAGGGAAACTCATGAAACCAGGCGGCTGACAGCACACCTATTAGCATCTTAGCATTTGGAAAAGCATACGTCATGAGTCAGTGGATACCATAAAGCCATGTGAGACAACAATGATTTGGGATGTGGTCTGATTCAGCAGATTAAAAGTGAGCCAAAAGCCTTAGAAGTAAAATATTTACACAGCACAAAGTCAAGTATTACTAAGTACTAATAACAGGTCAAACCAGCCACAGTCAACAGTGAGTGACAGTGAAGCGACTTTGTGCACAGTTCAACACAGACTCATATTCTCAGCACAAACTCACCTCAACATCCTGCAAGCTGAAGTCATTCTGGTCTTTGAAATTGGCAGCCCCAGCGCTCAGCTCCATAAGCATTTTGGCGATCTCTGGTTTTATTGCAGCAGTCAGCCTGCTGGCCGCCTCCATGACGTGTTCCTGCACGTCCTTCAGTTGCATAGCTGCTTTGGAATAATGAGAGTTCCTGAACACACTGCTAAACAGGTCTGTGAGAAAGGCGCTGGCCCGGCAGAACACGTTAAGAGCATCCAAGTATTTGGAGATGCCTTGTTGAATATCAGCAACAGCAGTAGTGGCACCAGAAGCAGGCGGGTGTACGCTGCCACTCACCGCCCCTGTTCCCATTGAAGAAGCCGAGCATGTGGAGGCGAGGGAGGCGCTCAGGGTTCGGCTCAGTTCAGGCATCTGGTACTGCTGGTGCTGCTGCACTTTCTGCTTGGACCCGCCGAGCAAAAAGCGACGCTTGTAGTCCATTTTATTTTCCTGCGCACTACAACAATACATAAGTGGTGCACCAGCACCGGAAGCTCCTGTTTTTAGTCTTTGATGCAAATAATTCTATCCTTCACAAAAACTCAATCAAATTGTCCTGAACCTGTTCAAGTTTTGTAAAAACAAATCTAGGGGACTCCACCTGCCAGAGGCACATCTCAGAAGTGTGTGAGAGGAGTCAGTCAAAATGCTCACCTGCAGCACTGCTGCAGATGCTTCGGGCCCAGTTTAAAAACCAGCAAAGTCTCCAACAGAAGAATCATAGTAATGGAGCCAAGGATGACCCCTCCTTATTGAATGGTAAAAGGTGACAGTACAGCCACAACTTTTAAAGTGCATTACTACTTCTTCAGAAGAGGGGTGAGGGCTCCTTCATAGAGTAGAATATTTACATCTTAAGTATATGAAATATAATCACTTGCTCTAAGAGCAGTAGTTCATTTTAATCAATGGAAGAAATCATGAAATTGTGGAAAGTATATGCTGGAACTAGATAGACAGGAGGTCTTCTCATGCGCCCGTTGGTAGTGTTACTGTGGAGCCAAATGGTAGACAGATCCAGTCTGTCTTTACGCCTCTTCAGAGCAGGGCATGGGACGATGGCTCAGTCCGTTCTAAACTTCTGGAGCACTTGGTCTCTCCTGTCAGCTGGCTGAGGTAGATATCAGTCACTGCGGAAACAAGTGTGCTTCCAGATCTCACTATGGGCTGCGGAAGCAGACTGAATGACGAAAGCACAAATGTATCTGTAAGGCCTCTTGGTCATTTCCTATGGAAAAAAGGGCAGAAACAGAAAAGAACACATTCAGTATTTTTGAACAAACAGTAGCTTCCCAACTTTTCACAGAGAGCTGTGTCCCTTCTGAATTTCTGGCACGTATGTGTGTGTGTCTTTCCATCAGCTAATTTGTATTTATTTTGTTTAAAGTTGTCCATGTTGAAGAGTAGTGGACATCTTGCCTGGCAATTCAGAAAGATATCTCTGTATTTTTATATAGATGGATATCAGTCTGGTCCCCGCAGCCTCCATTGTGTCTCAAGATAGAATCACAACATGTTCGTGCAATCAGATTTGTTTATTCCAATGACACAGGTTAAAAGAAGGAGCTCATTGGGCTCTCATTTACCAACAAAATGATGTTTCTCGCATGTTTTTCAGTCCCCAGTGATATTTCTTTTTACTATCATATTTGCTTCTTATTATCATATTGCTTTAGATGGTGCCCTACATTGGTAATTTGAGGAAGCTGTCATTATATTTTCAGTACAATGGGTATAAAACTGCAATGACAGGTTATAAAGCTGCAGTTTGAATAAAATCAAGGTGGTCAATCTGGAGGCCTATGGATTTATTTTATTATTTTATTTTCATACCTCACTGGCTGTCTGAAAAGCACACACTTTTCAGCATGAGGACATTGTTAGAGAACAGACTAATCTGTTGGTCTTCATGCTGTGGGAGTCATTCAGTATCTTCATTCAATACCAGAGCAATATAAGAAATGCATTTCTCCTGTTGGCTTTTGATTATTTATTATTATATTTTAATTCATCATGTAAAAAATTCAATTTGGAAACATCACATCAACAGTGGCTAACTTGTGCACTCTATGGATTACAGAGATTCAAAGACATACAAATGAAGAGCTGGAGTGACTCAAAAAGGCTGACCGTGTCATCTCTGTGGTTTTGTTTTGAGAGGATAAAATAGGATATTATTGTGGATTGGCTATGGCAGGGGTTTATCAAATTGGGTGAATGTGAGCCTCCCCTTAGAGTAAGTAAAGACAGCCAACCGCCCTGCTCACTTTCTCCACACACAGTCCTTAATATATTTAATATATTTTTTGAATAAACCAGGTCTAAACCAGGTCTAAACCAGGTCTAAACCAGGTCTAAACCAGGTCTAAACCAGACTATTCTTGGACTTGAGAGAGAGTGTGAGAGAGTGAGAGAGTGAGAGAGTGAGAGAGTGAGAGAGTGAGAACCCCAAGTCGGTGGAGCAGGGTTTCCACATAGCACAATTGGGCGACGGGTGCGCTGAGCCCCGTGCCGGTCCTTTTGTCCATGGTCACTTGATGGTCTACGTGGGCATACCTCCACTCAGTCCTGGTTCAGTTCTGGTTTAGTCCGCATGAGTCGCGCCTCCTCAGTGGCTCTTTAGTGCCTCCCAGGGGAGACGGGCCTCACCTATTGAAAACCACTGGACTATGGCAATACAAAACAAACTTAATTTTTCATGTGAAAATCTCTCACTTCTCTCCTTCACTGGAGTTTTCCTCAAAGTGTCTGAAGTACCCTGGAACAGTTATCCAATTGCTTGTTTCCTGTGAATGTTGGTTAACCTGCTTATCTGTTATTGATAAAGACCATTTGATTGTTTGATTTTCTAACTTCACTGCTGTTGTTATTTTGTGATGTACAAAAATATATTGAACAGAATGTCTAATTCCAGTATTAGAAGTCTCAAGAGATTTGCCCAAGTGAGGTCGACAAGGCATCAAATATTAACAAGGGAACTCCATTGGCTGCCAGCCTCCAGTATTAGAGATTGCACCCAAACAAATGCATGTGATGCAGAGTCCTCCCCACGGAAGGACTGGCCTTTTGCCAGCTTCCTCTGTTCCTCCTCCAACACGGAGCTTAGTGCTAATGTTAGCTCTGCTTCCTCACTCACCGCACATGTCAGCTGCTCTGATTCAACAAGATGGAGCTTAGGTTTCCTGGAGCAAGCTCCCTGTCGCCAGTAACAAAAACTGACGGACTATGCCCTTGTGTAGTAAATCACACAGCCATGTGTGATGTATCTCTCTGTGCACATGGACAACTCTGGCAAGTGGCAACATGACCAGAAAAGTCTTTATAAGAATATTCACACCAAAACAGAATTATGGCACATATCAGAAATGTGCTTATACATGCCTATCAGGGTTAAGTTGAGTCAAGTATGGCACAATATGAAAATGAATGTAAAGTTTAACAAAAATGAGCAAAAATATAACCTAATGCTAGGACACAGTATATCACAATCAAATCAAGTGGAGTACTGTGCAGTACGTATAGAGCGATGTGGACCATGTGGAGCTGGACTCAAGCTATGAATAAGATTCTCACTTTATAAACTCATGCATCATGGATATGTACTCACTTTGGATTTACTGTTTTGGATGGAGGAGGAGTCACTTGGACAAGACAAACAGGTGAGTGAAGCCATTTATACACAGAGAAGTACTATGTTTTCCTTCAATTGAACGCATTGTATATCCATGCGTTAACAGCAGGCCGTTGATAAAACATAACGTAAATTTCTCACTTCCAGTGCAATCATGCAGTCAGAGCCCAGCCACAGGCCCAGGCTATATTTGATCGATCTATAGGTGTATTTGCTCCTCCACTCCTCCCTCTCAAGTCCAAATAAGGAATCTTCTCAAATCTGCACATTTGCTTTTTAGTTTAGCTCTTAAACATATGAATTTGCATCATATATTAGTTGCACAGATGAAAATCATTGAAATTCTTACAATAGATCGATAGCTCTATAGTTGTATGGTTTATTTTGCTGTCCTGCGCATATGGCACAAAATGAAGCAAGTCGTTCATATTTTCAAATGCATTAGTCGTGTTTTAAAATTAAAGTACAGTGTTAGCTTGGCTGTCTGTGTGTGCATCCACAAAAGAGGAAAGAAAGTCATTTTGTCAATGCGTCTTTGTGCACTGACTTTCACAATCAAACTTCCAATGTTATTTACTGTAACAATTTCACACATGTACTTGTTATTGGGGTTTAAAATGGCAAAACAAAGAAGAGCTAAGAGGTGTCAGTGGGCAGGAGCAGACAATTGTGTGAGAGGGGAGGGGACAGAAACAAGAGGCTTGTTGGTCAGTGAATTGTGTATTTTGCATTTAAAGCAACAAAATTCAAAATTCTCTTAATGAAAGAACGCTATATGATCCATTTTACACACCATGTGTGTCTTATGCCGGTATGATGATATTAAAAAATGGATATCACCCACCTCAACTAACCACAACCACATATGAATTAAATACATATACTCCACATATGAATTTATATTATAACATTTTTTAAGATTACATTGTGCATTTGTAGCATTTTTATCTGCTCTTTTTCCTGCCTTTATAAAATCTTTGTTTCAGACAACTCTAAACTCTCACATCTTAACACATAAATGTCTGTATTGTAGTAAATTCACTGTCAAAGTCTTTGTTTTTCCTACTGAAAAGGGATCTCTGAGGCCGACATGCATGAAAAAGTCTGAAAAAGTGATATTAGCCTGCCCCATATACAGACAGGACAGCTGCTGGTCAGTCGTGCTGACAGCCCCTTATCTGTGCACCACTGTGCGAGCCACAGGCCTTTTGCTGCTGAAGCCACAGTCCTGGACCAGTATTAGCCTCTCGTGAAGTCTATTTCGGCCTCCATGGCCTAAACAGCTGCTGTTCAGTCTACAGCCACTGTTTTTAGACACTCCGAGGAGTTCAGCTCAAAAGGGGAATAATCGTGCTCCTACATCTGTTGCCAATGAAGCACAGGAATGCCTTCCCTGGAAGTTTCTTGAGCCCTTTACAAACAGCGCACCCATGAGATCTCTGGGTGCTGTCCCAGCCTCTTTTCCTACTAAGTGCAATACATACACATCTATACAGTCTGTATTTTGCTTTTGCACTCAGGAGGACCGGGGGATGACGACGTATCAGTGTGGTGCAGGCAAACTCACAGCTAACTAACAAATTAGTCTTTCAAATATAGGTATATGCTGGGCTACTGGGCTGGACTATATGATAGCCCAGGCTGGTGAGATGTTGAATTTGGAATTACTGTAATACAACTACAGCCGACTGAGTGACTACAGAGGTCAAAATTTTAATAATAATAACATTATTATTATAATCTAAATAACAACACCAATAGCCCAACTACAAATACTGATCCACCAAAAGTATATCACCAATTACACTTATATGTGGTGGAGTGCACAGAACTTGAGGACCTGGGACGGATGCACATAGAGATGCTCCTCCCTTGGACAAACAGCCGACAAAAATATATTAGTGGCATAGGCATGTATCAATGATGCTTGTATTGTGTCTTCTTTGTGTTGTGTTTTGATGCATGATTGATGCGTATCTGGTGTAATGGAATTCCTTTTTAAAAGGGTCCATATTACGCCATTTTCTGATCTATGTTATAATGTTGTATTCTCATTTTTTTTAAAAGAGTTGCGTTTAGTTTCATTCATACATGTTTAACACTCAAATCCTACATACTTAGGCTGAGTTCTTCTCTCAGACTGAAAGCACTTTGTGAGATCATGTTGTAATACAGGAAGTGGTCTACTTTATTTTAAACTCCATACCATCAACAGAATCATTTGGATAATTTCAGCCCTGGAATTGCCAATCTCTACTGAACAAAAAGGTAAAAGATAGCCATTAACATAAAAGCCACTTCTTCATGACATCACAAGGTAGAACAGAGCATTTTCAGCTTCAGAGATGTAGACCAACTAATAATAAAGGGTCACTCAAACTTGCAAATTAGGGACCGGCCGATATTATCGGCTGATACGGGCGCCTGGAAACATATCGGCGATCGGCCTAAATCTTGCCAATATGGGCTGATATTTCATATGGGCATGTTATACCCACTTATAACAATAAGCTTACACTCTACATTATGTTCATTTAATCCAATTTACAGACAGATAAATGTCCTAATATGTGGCTCCACATCAGTATTTATCTACCTATTTGTCTGTGTGTGTGGCTGTACTGTCAATGAATGCACCCCCAGAGTCACATCACTCACATGTTCTTGTTTACACCTGCAGCAATAGATTCAAACACTAAGATTATATTCTTTTTACGGACAATTGGTTTAAGTCAGGATTAAAAGGACATTTATTAGTGCAGACATGTGATGTGAGGATGAGCCTGTGTGAGCGGTGAGTGTTGGAAATGTGTCGATTTTGAAGCTAGTCTTAGTTATTTCTCATTGGTTAGCGATTAGCTGCTGTAGCTCCCACACAAACAGGCTTTCTCTTCTATTGTCCTATTGTAAAGTGACTATATTGGCCGTATATATAGGTTACTGGACCAGCATTGATATGTAAATGAGCTGTGAATAGAGGTGTGAATGATAACATTTACACATATAATTAATTACCACGGCGCGCACTAGGGCTGGTTATCATTAAGAAGTTGCCGATACGATACATACCTCGATACACAGGCCACGATACGATACATATCTCGATGCAGTGCACTTTCAATTCGATATGATACATTTCAAATCGATTTGATACAGTTCAATAAAAAATAAAGGCTAAATCATGTCTGTGATACTAAAAGTGTTTATTGAACCACTTCTTGTGCAAAGTTCATATGAAACACAAACATTTTAATCCTCAAAACTGTCAAAATGTCAAATGTGTCACATAAATGAGTTTCCTTT